TCTTGTTCACGACTGAGGGGAGGGTGGAGCGTGTGATTGACAGGTGGATCGGTGCAGCGTCGACAGTGATGCGGTCGCTGTATTTGACCGTTGTGGTGAAGAGGGAGCTGAACCTCTAGATTTACCACGTCGAGAGGAGCAGTTGAAGTGGCTCGGGCATCTGTTTCGGGCATGTCCTACCAGAAGGAGGCCCTAAGAAAGACCCAGGACACACTGAAGGGACTGTGTCTCTGGGCTGGCCTGGGAACGCCTTCGGGGTCCCCCTGGAGGAGCTGGAGGAAGTGTCCAGGGTGAGGGAAGTCTGGGAGTCCCTGCTTAGACTGCTGCCCCTGCGACCTGACCCCCGGATAAGCGGAAGAAAATGCATGGATGGAGGTGGAACAGTCTTTTCCATTTGAGAACGCAACCTAAATCTGCAGGTTTTTGCGTTAAACGTGTGTGAATAAAACAAAACACAACTCCAGGTCTGTTTGTGATGAGAAAACAACACCAGAACAGATCAGAAAACAGAGTAATATGAGCCCGTGTACCAGTCGTTTTTTTTTAAATTTCAATTAAGAACGAAAAACAATAAAATGGGAAAACAGTTTGTTCTGCTTCAGTGTTAAAAAAAAACCCTCAATCTCTATTTCCAATATTTAATTTAAACTTTATCTCAAAAAACAGTCTTGGTGAATCTTTTAATTTAGATATTTCATTCTCTCTGGTTTATTTGCCCCGGTAGGACTTACCTGAAAAATCGTTGCAAAAATATCAAACCAGAGAGAAAATAAAATATCAGTATTAAAATAGGCGTAAATATTGGAAATAGAGGTCGAAATCTGTTGGTTTTTTTGTTTGTTTGACACTAAAACTGAATAATGAAATAACAAACTGTTTTCCCATTTTATTGTTTTTCGTTCTTAATTGAAATTCAAAAGAACGAATGGTGCACGGACGCTTTAAGTTACTCTTGCTTGAGTAGTTTTCCCAAATACTGGAGTAATTTCTTGGACTATTACTTTGTCCTTCTACTTGACTAATATTATTTTTGTTACTCTTACTTGAGCACAACTTTTGGCTGAGTAGAAGTAAAAGTACTGTGTTTGAAAACTACTCAGAGAAGGTTTTCCGAGTAAATAAATAAGTAGCTTTAACTTCCTGCACACAAATAACATCGCAAAACAAAAAAACAAAAACAAAAAGATCCGACACGAACTTGTACATTGTTAGACAAAGGCCAGTTTAATTAGAACTAATTACACACAAAAATAAAATACTCTTACAAAATGATAGTGTTAACATACATCAAATTGCATCAGTCACCGAGTCCCGTGAGGCGTCTCTCGGCTTGTTTACAAAATAATAATAATAATAATAATTAATAATAATAATAATAATAGCATAAGATACCAGAGAGTGTGGGGTTTAGATCAGCCTTACAAAAACCAACGTCCATCCAAAAAAAACCACACAGCCGCCTCATCCTTTCGTGTGCAATCTGTTTCTCTTTTAAAATCTTTTCCTTTTTTTTTTTTTTTTTTTTTTTAAGTTAAGCATAAATTACAAGTTGATCTGCTGTTTTCTCCCAGTCCTGTACAACGCGCGTTTCACTTTGCATACACTTCATAAACGAGGAAAAAAAAAAAAAAAAGTGTGTTAAGAACAGTCCACGGTCGTCGAGATCGATAACAGGCAGCGTTTTTTTTTTTTGTTGTTTTTTTTTTTTAACCGAACATTCAAATTGTAGAAAAAAACGATTCCCCCCTTTTTCTCGATTTGGGAAAAGTAAAACAGAAAGACGGCGAGTTAGCAGGCAAAATAAAGTTGCGTTCGGGTGAAACTCGGAAAATGCGATCGCTCGGCTTCGTGTGTGACGTGAATGAAAATGGCGTAAGTCTGGTAGAGTGTAACCCTGGTTCTATGAAGTGTCTTGAAGGAGTTCATTTGTGACAAAAGGCAAACGAAATTTTGGATTGTACTGAACCAGGACTAAACCAGGATCTGAACAAAGAGGACTAATCCAGGACTGAACCAGGACTAAACCAGGACTGAACCAGGAGGACTAAACCAGGACTGAACCAGGAGGATTAAACCAGGACTAAACCAGGAGGACTAAACCAGGATTTAAACAAGCAGAACTGAACCAGGACTAAACCAGGATTAAACAAGGAGGACTAAACCAGGACTGAACAAGAACTAAACCAGGATTGAACCAGGAGAATTAAACCAGGACTGAACAAGCAGGACTGAACCAGGAATGAACCAGGATTGAACCAGGACTGAACCAGGACTGAACCAGGAGGACTAAACCAGGACTGAGTGTCGGGACGGGCCTGGAGGTGCCCCCGTGTAGACCGTCGGGAGACCGCAGGTGAAAGGACCGAGCTTCGACAGAGCTCCGTGCCCCAGTTTCACCCCACGATCGCGTTTTGCAGACACCCTGCTCTCTCTCTCAAGTCCAAGATTAGTCCTGCTTTAGTCCTGATTCAGTCCTGGTTCAGTCCATAAGCAGCCAAAGTCCGACATGGCAGTTTAAGACTACGATTACACTGAAATGAATCCGTGTATCACCATGTCACCGTATCGGAAACGATCCGCGTCCAGACATGTCGTTTCTGTTTCCGTACGCCTTCCCTATCCGTATTTGTTTACGTTTTACAGAAACGTTCATTTGCATAAACTGAGCGCTCAAAAAACAGCTCGATATTGTGTCGCTGATGCGGTTCAGCTTCTGTCGGACTAAAGGACACGACTCAGTGGAATATGAGTGTTGTTTCTGTGACAGAGGGGTGTTCTGCTGATGGTGAGTCTGTTCTGTGTTTCTGTCGCGTTGGAGATGGTTCATGTTAAACTTTTCAGAGATTATACGTCTGCAGGTCGTACACACAGACACACGTTTATATGAATAGACATATATTCTAGCCTCTTAGCGTTTTGGCGGTGAATTACTTTGCGGTGCATAGACTTACGTCAGAGTATCAGCGTTTTCAGGCGTCCACACTGTGCCGGATCAGGTCAGAATTCGTGGGAGTTGGCGGCACCAGATCGTTCCGTCTCTAGAGCCGTTTTCAGTCGGATTAGTGTGAACGAACACTGCATCCACAACGAAAACGACTCGAATACTTACTAGTGTGGACGGGGCTGTAGACACGTAAACAGGAAATGGCCGTTATCCGTTCTTTCCATTATTCATTTAAACACAAAACTGAAAACTGAAAATCGTTATCTGTTTTTTTCATTTTGGTTTCCGAGACAAATAATGAAGAAAATAGTTGTTTTTTCGTCCGAATGAATGAGTGATACATGGATTCAGCTTCCGAGGCGTCCGACGGAGCTGCGACATTTTCAACAGCCAAAACATTTCAGCTTTTACAGAAAACCGCTGCTACTTTTATTTCAAATTGGAACCAGTTTTACAGAATACCAGACTATACGGTAAAAACGTGTGAAGTCGCCGATATAAAAGGTTACGACAATGATATTTAGCACCACGTTGTTTTAAGGTAGTATTTTTAACAGTATGGATGGATAAAATTCAGCTACAACGAACGCCATAAGAAAGTATTTAAAGGGTTTGCTTCGTTTTTGCAATTTTCCATTCATTTCAAATCATTATGGCACAAGGACAGTAGCTCCTGGTTACGCTTTTTTGGATATTTTCAGATTTGTATTTATTTTTTTTTAGGTTTAGAAAATTTTCATCCCATCCAAAAAATATCCGCGAGCGTAACCAGGCCCGTAAAATTGTTCAACGTTTTTTTCAACAAAACAAATCGATGTAAAAAAAATCTGCAACTTTTTTTTTGTTTGTTTTGCCCGATACAATGGACAATAGACTTTTCACAATAAATTAGATACATCATATAGGCTTTAGTTGTGTCCATATAGAAAAATAATCAGGATATTTAAAGAAACTAGTCGGGGAATGCGGCGTCAAGTCCTCGCCGCGATGTCCGTGAGTTTTCGAGTCTTTTGGGTTGCCATGTTTGCACAAATCCCTCTTTTTTTTGTTTGTGTTACCCTGTCAACAAACCCAGCTCCTTCTCTCTTTTCTTAAAGGTCCTATATTACCCAAAAAACTGATATAATGTTGTTACCTCCTCGAAAATGTGACTGGAGTTGCGTTTTGTTTCATTCGCACATGTTTATCGGTTTATTATTACTGTATTTTTTGGACAATAAGGCGCAATGTCAATGAACGGGTCTATTTTCATACGTAAGGCGCATCGGATTATGAGGCGCATTAAACGAAACAAAACAGATCAGATAAATTAAACTTTACTAAGGTGCCATTTTGGGGTCCTACTACGGAAGCTGTAATGCCCCAGATAATCTATCAAGCGGTGCGGCTTCGTAGCTCACAAAAGTCGTATTAAGGGTGTGTTTACAGGAGAACGCTTGCAGGTAAAAACGACAAAATATTTTAACAGAAGTGCCTTTCGTTTAGACGGTGACGGCGTTTTTGGGGGTCTTAAAAATGCTAATTTCTGAAACCACCTTCCAGAGTGGAAAAGTTGAATACACTCCGCCGTAGCGTTTCGTCTACACAGCTCAAGACGCAAAACTCTGGTCGGATCTGCTCAGGTCACGTCGTGTTTACGTCACATAAATCACCACCAAGCCGCCTGGCATGTAAACCCAATCGAATTCCACCAGTGTTGGGGAGTAACAGATTACATGTACCAGAGTTACGTAATCAGAGTACAAATTATGAGTAACTGTATTCAGTTACAGTTACTGTTTCAGCGAGTGGTAATTGGATTACAGTTACTTTGTTGAAATAAATGGATTACACAGAGGTATTTTCCTGTTTTCACATTTCGGGCTATATCCCCTTTTTTTTCTTTTTTTTTTTTTTCTCAGTAATTCCACTCATTGCCGGACACTAAACCAGGTCTAAACCAGGAGGTCTAAACCAGGTCTAAACCAGGTCTAAAACCAGGTCTAAACCAGGATCTAAACCAGGTCTAAAAACCAGGAAGTCTAAACCCTAAACCAAAGGTCTAAAACCAGGTCTAAACTAGGTCTAAACCAAGTCTAAACCAGGTCTAAACCAAGTCTAAAACCAGGTCTAAACCAAGTCTAAACCAGGTCTAAACCAGGACTAAACCAAGTCTAAACCAGGTCTAAACCAGGTCTAAACCAGGTCTAAACCAGGTCTAAACCAGGACTAAACCAGGAGTAAACCAAGACTAAACCGGGTCTAAAACAGGATTTAACAGGACTAAACCAGGCTGCGTGGACGTGTCTCCTCCTCTTCTATCAATAATATTTTGAACTTGGTTAAATAAAGTCTGGGCTTTTCATTGTTTTTGAGAAAATTAAAGGACTTTAAATGCGCCTTATCGTCTGAAAAATATCGCCAAAGCTCAAAATGCTCTGTTCCATTTTGTGATGTCATTTAGTGGTAGTTTTTAAGGTGAACACCGATTTACTCTACAATACTCTAGAATAATCATATGTCGTTGCTTTGATTTTTGAATATTTACTTTTATTTTACGCACAACTGAGATCGCCAATAGAAAGTCTGACAGCTGTGACTTCAGAGTTTGGCAAATCCAGGGCTGACGTGATCCAAATGATTCCAGTGAAAGTGTAAAGAGTTTAAAAACGAAGTGGAGCATTTCCCGTATCACCACATAATGACGTCAAAAGGGCGGAACAGCGCGTTTTGAGTTTGCGAGAAGAACTCAGCCTAAATACGGCACGTTTTTTTGCGTAAAACTTGCGTGAACGAGACAAAACGAAACACAACTCCAGGTCCGTTTGCGACGAAAATACAACATTACAACACGGATGAGAAAAAGTGCAATACGGGCCCTTTAAAACACGGTTGCTACATGAAGTATTTGATAGGATACAAAAGGAAGAGCAAAGTGTCGGTATTTTCCACGAGTTAGTGAGTAGAGTTCGTAGCAGCTGGAGGGGTCCGTTGGTTGGTTTGTTGAGTTTGTTGAGTTTGTTGGTTCCGCGACTCGGCCGTTGCGTCCCTCGGAATCGCGGGTCGGCTTCACTCCACAGCGAAGCCGCACGTCTCCTCGATGGCCGTCAGCAGCTTGTCGTACAGTTTGTCGTAGTGCTCGTACGGGGGAATGTCGATCCGGTTAAAACTGGACATAAAAATAAATAAATAAGAAACACGAGGGATTTGTGTTATGAGCAGCGGTGGAACGTAAACAACGTAAAAGTTTAGATTTGAGGCGTCTTGAGTCGAATTTAAAGTGGACGATTTTACTTTACTTCACTACGTTTGAGAGCAGGTGTCTGTACTTTAAACTCCACAACATGTTTTATTATAGTTTGAGACCTGCTGAAAAGCCTGAGGGTTTATTTTTAACATGTAATTTGAGCAAACAAAAAATACAAATAAAAACAATCAGGAAAAAAGTCTAGTCAGTTTTTTGTTTTTTTTTTTTTTTTGAGGAACAAACTTCAGCACAAATCGTTATCAAAATCTCTACATTTGAAGTTTTATAAGACCTCAAAATCTGTGTGGAATACTTTTACTTTTTAGTTTTTAAATGCATTTTTAAGCAGGTACTTTAATACTTTTATTTAAGTAGATTTTTGCTCCGGTGTCTGTACTTTTACTTAAGTATTAAATGAAAGTAAATTGTGTAGTTCATCCTTTTTTGATTATGGGTAATTTAGGCTTTTTAAATCATTCTAGGCGTCTTTGCTTTAGTTTTTTTATGACTGAATAACAAAAAACAAGTAGTTTTTAAGAATAATTGTTGATACTGTTTCCAAGTTTACACGAGAGCTTTAATTACGAATAAAAACTATTTAATTCTGAATAAAAATGAATTCTGCTTTAAAAAGACCAAGTAAACACTGAATTCCTAATGAAAATAATTATTCGGAATTAAACTTAATAAGTAAGTGGGCGGTTTATTCCCATTTTAAAGCTGAATGAATCATTTAAACATTTTTTCTTCTTAAAAATGATTCCGTTCGTTGGGTCGCCTTTGAGTCCACCAGCTTTTAATTAAAAATATTAAATAAAGGCGATTTAACGTGTTTTCCATGTAAACTCGAAAGAGAATATTTTAATTCCGAACTATTTAATTCAGAACAATTAATTCAAATTCAGAAAACGTGGTCTGTGTCACTTCTTGAAGGACCTGTATGTAAGATTTTTATTTTAAATCGCACAAACTTGACCTGAGATCCAGTTGCTTTAAACCTAAAAAAAAAACTCTTCTTAAACCTCAGCACCTACAGCCAATCATGAGTCAGTGCTAGTGCAGCCTGTGCAGCTCAGGGAGGGAATTCTGGAGGTTCTGAGCTTTCACACGACGCCTGAACACAAACTGAGAATGAGACAAACTTGGCTACAAACAGTTTCTTTAAGTGTTTCGTTCATTTGCTGCAGATCGTGTTGAAAAATCATAAACATTAAGAAAAGAGTGCACTAAGATGTGAATATATTTTCTCTTAAAATGTGTTAACAGTGGAGAGTGAAGTGGTTGTAGAAGCCTAAGTAACAGCCAGGTCATTAATCCAAAATGGCACAGTTTTTTTGCTATGAAATGTCCCATTGTACGGCATTAAAGAATCCGTGTATCATTCGTTCATTCGTTTTTCAATATAAAACCAAAAATAAGAAAACGAAAAAACAACAGTTTTCTTCGTTATTTGTCTCCAAAACCAAAATGAAAAAACGGATAACGATTCGTTTTTTCAGTTTTCGATTTTGTGTTTAAATGAAGAATGGAAAAAACGGATAACAGCCGTTTCCCGTTTACGTGACTTCAGTGACTGCGATGCCGAACTTTTGCACCGCGTACGGACTGAATCAGGACGGATCCAGGTCCGAGACCAGACCGGGACTAGAGCGGGACTGAGACTGGGACCACCGGGACCAGACCGGGACCAGACCAGAGCGGGACCAGGCGGACTCTGAGCTTTGACTCCGAGCCTCCACAGGGTCCGAGCCTCAGCTTCGAGCTCCGGCCCTGTCATGGGCTCTGAGCCTCCGGTCTGGTCCCGGTCTGGTCCTGGTCCTGGTCTTGTCTCGGTCTCGGTCTCAGGCCCGCTCTGGTCCCGGTCTGGTCCTAGTCTCAGTAGCGCTTTGGTCCCGGTCTGGTCCCGGACCTGGTCCATTTGAACCAAAAGCTCTTAGTTCGATTCATTTTCATTGGTGTGAATGCGTCAGTCGGAGGCTTTGCACCACCTCGGAACCAGCCGCGGTTCTTGAACGCGGAGGACCAGAGCAGCTCTGTCCCGGTCTCAGTCCTGCTCTGGTCCCGGTCTGGTCTCGGACCTGGATCAGTCCTGATTCAGTCCGTACGCGGTGCAAAAGTTCGGCATCGCAGTCACGGAAGTCACATAAACGGGAAACGGCCGTTATCCGTTTTTTCCATTCGTCATTTAAACACAAAATCGAAAACTGAAAAAACGAATCGTTATCCGTTTTTTCATTTTGGTTTTGGAGACAAATAGCGAAGAAAACTGTTGTTTTTTCGTTTTCTTATTTTTGGTTTTATATTGAAAAACGAATGAACGAATGATACACGGATTTTAAAGGATCATAATGAGCCCTGTTGAAGTTGAAGTGGAAACGTTTAAATTACAGAGTTCATTTGTATTATTATGTGCAACAAAATGAGTAGAGGCATGTTTTTTTTAAAGAGAAAATATGGTTAAACGTATAAACTATGTCATGCGTGTTTATGAACAGGACAGAGAGGCGGGACTGACCAGGTGTGGGCTTTGGGCAGGTTGTTGGTGCTGGCGTCGATCTGGTGGATGGTGAAGAGGCGCGGACCTGCAGCTCCTGGACACATCACATTCAAAATACAGATACAAGATTGAGCATTTGTATTTTTTCATGTGTAGCAAAAAAAAAAAACAAAAAAAGCTAAATTTCCAGAGATTTGTTTTGTATTCCCTATTTCCTTACTGGTAGATATTTAAAATTTGTATGTAACAGATAATGCTCCCTACAACTGTACAACTCACCTTTATGTGACATATAATACTCCCTACAACTGTACAACTCACCTTTATGTGACATATAATACTCCCTACAACTGTACAACAACTCACCCTTATGTAACAGATAATACTCCCTACAACTGTACAACTCACCTTTATGTGACATATAATACTCCCTACAACTGTACAACTCACCTTTATGTGACATATAATACTCCCTACAACTGTACAACAACTCACCCTTATGTAACAGATAATACTCCCTACAACTGCAAAACAACTCGCCTTTATGTGACATATAATACTCCCTACAACTGTACAACTCACCTTTATGTGACATATAATACTCCCTACAACTGTACAACAACTCACCCTTATGTAACAGATAATACTCCCTACAACTGCAAAACAACTCGCCTTTATGTGACATATAATACTCCCTACAAATGTACAACAACTCATCCTTATGTAAAAAATAATACTCCCTACAACTGTATACAACAACTCACCATTATGTAACAGATAATACTCCCTACAACTGTACAACAACTCACCCTTATGTGACAGATAATACTCCCTACAACTGTATAACAACTCACCCTTATGTGACAGATAATACTCCCTACAACTGCACAACAACTCGTCTCATCATCTTAGCTCTATTTATATATATATATTTTTTTATTTACTTGTACTTATACATTTATATAATTATGTCTTATGCTACTTTTTTAAGTTTTATTCCCATTTTTATATTTTTTACTCTTTTTTTTTTTAACATATTGTGATGTGTGAGCTGCTGTGTCCAAGTCACTTCCCTTGTGGATCAATAAAGTCTAAGTCTAAACACAAAATGTAAAAAAAATTAAATGAATTTGAGTTTAGTCCGTTAAAACAAATATTTTTTTTGTTCCTTTGTGGCCAGTTTCGGTCAAGACACGCGTTTGATGTTCCGATACCCAAACTACATTCTTGTCTCACAGTTCGGTGAACGGGCGACGGGCGCGGCGCATTTCCATACTCTGGGATTTGCACCGACCGGAGCAGTGTGTTAGGATGTAAAGCAGACGAGTTTACATGACAAAGCAGAGCGGACGCATCTACATGAAGAGGAGACATTTGAATCGCGGGACGGGACGGGAGCACTTTTACATCTGCGCCTCTCACGTCAAAGGGAGTGACCGTGTGGCGTCGACTGTGTTTGCTGTGAAAGGAACACAGTGCAGCCGCGTTTGAATCACTAAAGAAATGCACCGTTGTTGGTGTTTTCAGAGACATTTGATCACAGTCATTAATTTAGTCTAAAATGTTGGTGTTTAGAAACGCAGTGTTATATTTAAAATACTTCTTAGATTGGATTTTATTCTGATATACTCAGTGTTGGGGAGTAACAGATTACATGTACCGGAGTTATTTTCACATTATTTTTTAATTTTATATATATATTTTTCCGTAATTCCACTCATTGCTGGAAACTAAACCAGGTCTGAACCAGGTCTAAACCAGGACTAAATCAGGATTAAAACCAGGTCTAAACCAGGTCTAAGATAGATCTAAACCAGGTCTAAAACCAGGTCTAAACTAGATCTCAACCAGGTCTAAACCAGGTCTAAAACCAGGTCTAAACTAGATCTCAACCAGGTCTAAACCAGGACTAAATTGGGACTAAAACCAAGACTAAACCAGGACTAAATCAGGATTAAAACCAGGTCTAAACCAGGTCTAAACTAGATCTAAATCAGGACTAAACCAGGACTAAATCAGGATTAAAACCAGGTCTAAACTAGATCTAAACCAGGACTAAAACCAGGTCTAAACCAGGTCTAAACTAGGACTAAATCAGGACTAAATTAGGACTAAAACCAGGTCTAAACCAGGTCTAAACTAGGACTAAACCAGGACTAAATCAGGACTAAATCAGGATTAAAACCAGGTCTAAACCAGGTCTAAACTAGATCTAAACCAGGACTAAACCAAGACTAAACCAGGCCTAAAACCAGGTCTAAGATAGATCTAAACCAGGTCTAAACTAGGACTAAATCAGGACTAAATTAGGACTAAAACCAGGTCTAAACCAGGTCTAAACTAGATCTAAACCAGGACTAAATCAGGATTAAAACCAGGTCTAAACTAGATCTAAACCAGGACTAAAACCAGGTCTAAGATAGATCTAAACCAGGTCTAAACTAAATCTAAACCAGGTTTAAACCAGGTCTAAACCAGGACTAAACAAATTTTCTTAATTGCCCACTCGTTTCACAATTCCAACCATGGGTGCCCCTGCTTTTAATTTTGAAAATCCGATCACCCTAATCTCTCTGTGCCTCATCTAAGCTTCGCCGTGGCTCTTATATGTACTCAGGTTCTCGTGAAGTAACTCTCTGGCATTTTGGTTTTATAAAGACACTGAAGGAAAACTGTTAGAGAACAACGCTTTTACAATGTGATAATAAAGATCTCCATGACGATTATGCAGCCTTACTTTACTGCGTATCTTCTCTGGTTTGTAAATACTAAACCACGTTAATATAAAACTATTAACTCTTTCCCCCATGAAGACGACATTTGACGACCCCCCTGTTCCCTTAATGACGACTTTTAACACCTCCGCTGTTTCACTAAAGACGTGATTTGACGACCTTTAGAAACGGCTCGGTTTTTCACATTTAAACAGAGACTGTGATCGGTGGGGGCCACTACAACCCACACTAGACTGACCAATAGGATTCAAGGATATGTTTTCGCCGATTTTTTCCGAAAGTTAATCGAAAAATAGTGACGATTGTAGCTTCCGGAAAAAACACAACACGAAACACGTGCAATGGAAAGATCGCGGCGCTGCGGCGCACAGTTTTAGAAATAATGAGGAGCGGACGTATTTTATGGATAAGTTTAGAGAAAGTGACTTTTATAGATTTCAAAGTGATGATGTTGAAGTTGATTATAAAGTGGGAAAACAGCGACAGCGACGGACTTTCGGGGGGAGAAGGTGAGATGCCGCTGATGCGTCTGTGTGGAGTCCTGCGATGTCCCAACAAACTATCTGAGCTTTATACTCGATTATGAACCAAAATTGCCCTGAAATCTGGATGTTGCCCAGGCCAGTCCTTTAAAATATTTCAGTCTTTTTTTCCAAGATGCGATGTATAACAGAATCACTACAGAAAAAAAACGCTTATGTGGAGCTCTGCACACGAGAAAATAACCAAGATGACAAATACTGGACACACACTGACGGGGAAGAGTTTTATTATTATATTATAATAAGCTAAATGAGTTGAATAAGCTAAATGAGTTGAATAAATAAAATAAGTTGAATAAGCTAAATGAGTTGAATAAGTTAAATGGAAAAAAATTAATTGGGTGCACACAGGTGCACAACAGGTAAAAACAGGTGCACACTTGGCTATACTGTATCTGGTGATATGAAATCTGTTTAAATACTTTGACAAAGTATATTTTTTATTTTTTTATGAATACAGTATCAGAACATGCAGATATCAGATGCTGAATGTAGTTTTTTGTTTTCGAGTTTGCACCTGACCAGGTAAACTCTCATTTTCAGTGAGCTGTTATACTGTTATACCTATAAATGAGTTGAATCACATTTAAACATCCATAAATGAAGAGTTCAGAGTCTAAGGTTTCCAGAGATACAAATATGTCTGTGTTACAATTAAGTTCATGAGTGTAAAAATCATTTATAATCACTCGTGGAAGTTTGTTTTCTTTTATGCAGTGATGCTCTATGGGTGTGGCCCTAGTAACATATGTGTGGGTTGTTCCTAGTCGGCGTCCGGGGGGAAAGAGTTAAAACACTTTTATTTACCCTGTAGAGCCTTGAATCCCTGCAGAGGCACCCTGGAGGATCCGGTGACGAACTGCAGCAGGCGCGCCCTCCTCTCCTCGTCGAACGACTCCACGGCCTTCCAGAACCACTTCACGATGTTGCTGTCGGACGTGCAGTGCTTCAGGCGCGTGTTGGACTTCCAGTCGTTTATGTCGATCTTTCCCAGGCCGCACACGATCAGCTGCGAGGACAAACACACACGCTGCTTTAACAAGAAGAACGCAACGGATTTTTACATACGGCTTTACATTCACTCCAAACTCGGGATTGTCAGGATTATTTCAGTGAGTAATATTTAGTGTTGGGGAGTAACAGATTACATGTACCAGAGTTATGTAATCAGAGTACAAATGATGAGTAACTGTATTCAGTTACAGTTACTGTTTCAGTGAGTGGTAATTGGATTACAGTTACTTTGTTGAAATAAATGGATTTTTTTTTTTTTTTTTTTTTCAGTAATTCCACTCATTGCTGGAAACTAAACCAGGTCTAAAACCAGGACTAAACCAGGATACGAACAAGGAGGACTAAACCAGGACTAAAACCAGGTCTAAACCAGGACTAAACCAGGACTAAACCAGGAACTAAACCAGGACCAGGACTAAACCAGGACTAAAAACCAGGTCTAAACCAGGTCTAAACCAGGTCTAAACCAGGACTAAACCAGGACTAAACCAGGACTAAACCAGGTCTAAACCAGGACTAAACCAGGTCTAAACCAGGTCTAAACTAGAGCTAAACCAGGACTAAAACCAGGTCTAAACTAGATCTAAACTAGACCTAAAGCAGGTCTAAACCAGGTCTAAAATAAACCAGGTCTAAAACCAGGACTAAACCAGGATACGAACAAGGAGGACTAAACCAGGACTAAAACCAGGACTAAAACCAGGACTAAACCAGGACTAAACCAGGACTAGACCAGGACTAAAACCAGGACTAAAACCAGGACTAACCCAGGACTAAACCAGGAGTAGACCAGGACTAAACAGGACTAAACCAGGACTAAACCAGGACTAAACCAGGACTAAACACTATGACACTTAACAGTAGGTGGACATATTTTAAAGCAGCAGTGATCTCATATAAAAGTTATTTCTCTATCAATAATATGTTTAATATGTTTAAGTAAAGTCTGGGCTTTTTATTTACTTTTAGCAGATAAAACAAAACATCTTATGTTCAGATCCTCGTCTTTGTTTCTCTACAGTAAAAACAAAATCCTGTTCATGGAGACTTGGGCTCAACAGACAATTTGAAGAGAACAAACATGAATTTTCAGGATGTGGATGTTACATTCATGTAGTTTTAAAAAGCACGACAATATCAAGTAATCCAAAGTATTCAGATTACGTTACTCATTTTAAGTAATTTAATGGATTACGTTACAAGATACATTTTGGGGTATGTAATCTGTAATCTGTAGGGGATTACATTTTAAAAGTCACCTTCCCAACACTGGTAATAGAGACACTGGGAACAGGACTAGGGGTGTGCAAAAATATCGGAATATTGATATATCGTATCGTTTAATGTGATGATACAGTATCGATATCGTGGGCTTCTGTATCGATATATCACCAAGAGTATTTTTACGTGTGTTTTGCAAAATTATTATGTTACAGCTACAGTTTTGTTGCTTGTGGAGTGAAAGGAAACTCATTTATGCGACACATTTGACATTTTTACTGTTTTGATGATTAAAATGTTTGTGTTTCATATGAACTTTGCACAAAAAGTGGTTTAACAAAGACTTTTAGTATCACAGCCACGATTTAGCCTTTATTTTTTATTGAACTGTATCGAATCGATTTGAAATATATCATATCGAATCGAAAGTTCACTGTATCGAGATATGTATCGTATCGGCAACTTCTTCATGATACCCAAGCCTAGAGCCAACTGCTTATTTAAAATATTTGATGCGTTTTGTGGGAAATATTATGTGTTGGTCATGCTAATTCACCCAATATTATGGACTTTGGAATGACAACAGGGTGGAAAACACGTATCACTATCTATAGGTCTATATAACATGTTTTTTCTGTACTTTGAGTGCCATAAAGAACATGTTTTTCTGGACTTTGAGATGCCACGAAGCAGAAAAACTGACATATGTGGACCCCGTGGCATGTTCCCACCCATGATAAGGTGCACTGGGTCAGCAGTATTGTTCATTTTCTTGCTGTATATGCTAAATCAACAAGTTAATGTTTTGTCAAGATGTAGTATAAAGCTACCCCTGATTTTGAGTTGGTCAGAGGCGTCGTCCGGGGTGGCAGTTGTACTTGGTAATCAACTTGAATCTCTCTCAATGGAAATGCTGAAATAAAGTGGCCTGTTCTCTCGGATTCTCCATCTCCTGTGCTTCTTTTTAGGACACGCATTGAACCTTCCGAAAAAACCCACAGTTTTCAAACCAGGAAGTACGAGCACGTGTCCTGCGCTCAGGTCTCTGCACTGCCCCCTGTGGCTCAGAGACTTTAAAGCAGCTCTGTTTGTACAAGTCTCTCCACGGCCGAGCACCAAAAGTCCATCTGTGACATGTTAGTGCCACATGAACCATCTCACACTCTGAGGAGCTCATGGACCGACCTCCCGCTGGTGCCCAGAGTCACGACTAAACACGAGGAGTCAAGAGTTTCAGATTTATGAAGCTTAAACCTGGAACAGTCTGAACATGTGAGACAGACTCGACTCTGACTCTGTTTAAATCCAGACTCAAAACGGTTCTGTTCAGCTGCGTTTGACTGAAAGTTTTTCATTCCGCACTCTTCTCTCTCATTTAATGTCTCTCTCTTTTTAATTTTATGATGATTATGTAAGTTTTGATTTGTGTTTATTGTGATTTTTTTCTTATTCTGTAAAGCACTTTGAATTACTTTGTGTACAAATTGTGCTCTACAAATAAACTTGCCTTGTCTTTATAATATGTACATGCACTGTTATGTGAACTATACACAGTGTTTATGGATATTATATTTTTTATGGAATATATATTTTTAAATCCTCAGGTCCCTTGGTTTGTCTGATCGGGTACAGCTAATGGAGATCTTAATACCGGTACTTAGGGCTGGGTATCATTAAGAAGCTGCCGATACGATACATACCTCGATACACAGGCCACGATACGATACATATTTCGATACAGTGCACTTACAGTTCGATACGATATATTTCAAATTGATTCGATACCGTTCAATAAAAATAAAGGCTAAATCATGACTGTGATACTAAAAGTCTTTGTTAAACCACTTCTTGTGCAAAGTGAATATGAAACAAAAACATTTTAATCCTCAAAACTGTGAAAATGTTAAATGTGTCACATGCACTGCAAAAAATGTAATCTAGCCAAGTTAAGATGACTTGAATTAAGAAAGTTTTATCATGATTTGAGTAAATTCCACTTGACAAGTTAAATTATCCATCAGCGGAATATGATTTTTTGTTCTTAAAATATGAAAATACAACTCGCTACACTTAAAAAAGAAAAACAACAACCCTTAAAATAAGAAATGAAATCGAATGTCGCTTGAATTTAGAAAAACACTTATTCCATTGGTAGAGTCGACTCAGATAAAGTCAAATGTTCTTAATTTTCATTTTAACAAACTTTTTTGCCTTGTGAATGAGTTTCCTTCCACTAAACAAACAACAAAACTGTAGCTGTAACAAAATAATTTAGTAAAATACACCAAAAATACTCGATATGCGATATATCGATACAGCAGCCCACGATATCAATACTGTATCATTACATTAAACGATACGATATATCGATATTTCAATATTTATGCACACTCCTACCGGTACTTAAATAATTGCATCAGTAACCATTTTGTGGTGGCGTGTACCTCGAGCTCCTTCTCGTCGAAGGCCTTGAGCAGGTGCTGGGGGATGACTTCGTTGAAGCCTTTCTGCAGAGCTAAGAACTGGGCCTCGATGCCGCGCAGGAACCTCCAGTTCACGTAGAGACGCACGTACTCCTTCTTCGTGTCCTGGGTCACGGAGATGCTCTTCCCGTTGGGCTTGAGCTCGTGCTGGATGATCTCTCCGTAAGCGTTGTGTTCTACGCAGAAGGTGTGGTCCAGCACACCTGTGATGTCATTGTCTCTGCAGACACAAAACAAAGACATGTGACTATCACCGAGCACCAGGAAGGACTGTGAGGTTTTATTATTGTTTATTTACTTATTAGACCTGGATTATTTCAGTGAGTAATAGGTACAGCTGGACTTTGTTTATTAACAAACATCTGCCAAGAGAATAAAGCTTTTGTCTTGAAATAACAATAGAATAAATACATTTTGGGACGAGGGATAATAACTGCAATTATTCAAGTCACTATATAGAAATAAAAGAAACAAAAGGAATGAACTGAATGATGAATGATTAAGAGGGAGGATTTATACTTCTGCTTTCCCCTTTTGAGCTTTGTATTATTTATTTTGTATTTCTTTGACTTCCCTTCCAAACTGCTCAAACATAACAATAATTAAAGCAGACTGGGGCATTGTACAGCTCCCGGAGTACGTTTAAGATCATTTGGAATTACAAAATAAACATATTTTATAATTTTACCTCAGGCATGGACTAAAGCTGCATTGCTTTTGTTTTAGAGGGTTTTTTAAATAATATTTTTGGAAGGCAGCCTCACTTTTTCATTGCTTAGTCATAACATAAACTCTTACCAGTCTGAGCAGCTCATCAAAACAAAGATATTTACTGCTTTTTATAAAGAAATACAATTCATATTATGGAGAATTGAGTAAAGCATTTTGGCCGTCCACAATATTTTCAGTTTCTCATGTGGCCCCATGGAAAGAATTAAAAACACTGATCCTGATTTTTACTGTCTTACAAACTTGAAAACACAAAGTTCTTCTTCACTTTCTACATTCTGAGAATCCAAATATTTCACAGCAATGAGTTTTACCTTCAGGATAATGCGAACAACAACGCACCAGCATGAATTCCTGGTTCACAGACCACAGACTGTATATCTAAATGAACATAACTAACCCTCTAGCCTCCATGTTTTGAAGAGGAAGTGTTCATGGGCGCGCTTCTGGCTCCATTCATCTCCGATTGACTTTACACTGAAAAACTGACATCCCTCTCTGCTGCTGGGAGTTTCTAGCCTGATTCATCAGCCGGTTTCACTTCATACAAACCGTTTGACTTCACAGTGTTAGAATTTGTTCGCTCAACTGTAGGCAGGTACTTTTTTTTATTTAACCAGTTACTGCTGTTTGGTCGTGACGTATGTAAAGCACCAAATCCCATAGGAAGAAGGACAATAACGTCTTTCCCCTTGATAAAATTCACCAAACGTTCTCTTTATTCCGGCTTTAAATCCTCGATCTCTAGAATCGTTGCCAACACAGAATGTATGACTCTTCGCTGATTGGCTGGTGCCTGAACTCGCACCTCCGGGATTTTTGCGAACCGTCTAGCGTATTCCGATTCCTGACGTAGTCGCTGGAGAGAAATGAAATTGAGTGTCTAGGGAGCCTCGTAATTTTGGTCTTAAAATGTTCGTATTAACACGCTCTACGTGATCCTGGTGTTTTTGTTTTGGTATTTTGTCTGTAAATAAATGATAATAATACGGATTTTGGCTCCAAAGCTTCATCTGACTTGGAGCTGAACGCTGTGGCTGACGTCACACTTCTTTAATCCACTTCTTTATACAGTCTAAGGCTGCGTTCAGACTGCAGCCTGAAGTGACCCAAATCTGATTTTTTGGCTTCTATGTGACCTGTATCTGATCTTTTAATGACAGTCTGAACGACACAGATCCGATTTTTGCAAATGTGACCCAGGACACTTGGATATGTGCTCCTGAAAACTGATACATATCTGATCTTTTGACATGTGACTTCAGTCTGAACGGCCAAAGCGCATTCATCCACCTACACGTTATCAACAAGACACAAACGTCACTATTCTGCGCTGAAGTAGGCGAAAATTGTTTTTATGAACTCCGTGTCAGTGAAGCGAAGCACATCACCACTCACCACTCTTGGCTCCGTCTCCACATCCACACGTTCCTTTTAACGGACACTGCCCCACAAAACACCACGACCAAAAACCTCGTCCTTCTCCTTCTCAATCTCCTCTTTAAAACAAGTAAGTTGTTCATGTTCTGGCTCCGGTACGAGAGGAACTTTAAAATCTCCAGGTGCTCGATGCTGCGTCCATGTTTGGACAACTTCCGTAAACACAGAGCACACTCGCTGCGGTTGACGTCGTCGTGTCTCCAGTGCACATGCGGGACACTTTCGGGCCGTTTAATGTTCACACTGGAGTCACACACAAGTCGCACTTAATTGTAAACGTGAACGACCTCGCAAAAACATCGGATTTCACAAAAAAATCTGAATTGAGCGTTAAGCCCTGCAGTCTGAACGTAGCCTAAGACGCAGACACATGCACAGAGAGGTTTCATTTTGACCCTAAAAGCTGCTTATACTTTGCATCTGTGCTAGAGCGAGACACATTTGACTTTACTACTGTTCCAGCCCCTTCAGTGAACCCTGTGTGTGTGTGTGTGTGTGTGTGTGCGGCGTACAGTATCCAGACGAGGCTGTTGTGCAGGTCCGGGTCCACAGACTCCATGTCGTCCAGGGTGATGGGTTTGCCCAGCAGCTGTTTGTAGAAGGGCAGAGTGAATCCTCCGTCGATGTAGTGCCCGTGGAACACCGCCATGCCCATGATCCTGCCCACGAAGTGAAAGTACGACAAGTGCTCCTGGGAACGCAAACACACCAACAGGTCACGCACAAAATACTCAACTACACAATTTATCATCACGTTATTCATAATAGTAATCGTGACAAGAAAATGTAAACCCACAAATACTAAAATGTACCCAGATGATCCTAAAATTAATATTGAAACTACATATATTTGTTATTTGAGTTGGTATCACTAAAATCTAAAGACTTACCTGTAGTCTTTTTAAAAATAAAAGTATAAAACTACAATATAAATGTACCTTATGTTCATTTTTTTCATTGTTTTATCAAAATCTGTACTGAGTATGAAACTTATTCTTAATATACAAATCTAATCTGAATTTTAGTATTGTAAAAACTACTAAATTTGTATTTTTGACTAGTTTAGATTTTATTTATAAAAATGAACACCATTATTTACCAATCCCACAAATACTAAAATGTACTCAGCTTGTCGAAAATAAATAAATTTGTTATTTGAGTTGTTAACGCAAAATTCTAAAGACTTACCTGTAATTAAAAAAAAATTTTAAAGTATAAAACTACAATATAAATGTACCTTATGTTCATTTTTTTATTGTTTTATCAAAATCAGTATTGAGTATGAAACTTATTCTTAATTTACAAATCAAATCTGAATTTTAGTATTGTAAAAACTACTAAATTGAAGTAGTTCTGACTAGTTTAGGTTTTATTTACTAAAATGAATATGATTATTTACTAATCCCACGAATACTAAAATGTACTCAGTTTGTCATAAAATAAATATTGAAACTACATATATTTGTTATTTGAGTTGTTAACGCTAAATTCTAAAGACTTACCTGTTATCTTTTTAAAAATAAAAGTATAAAACTACAATATAAATGTACCTTATGTTAATTTTTTCATTATATTATCAAAATCAGTATTGAGTATGAAACTTATTCTTAATTTACAAATCTAATCTGAATTTTAGTATTGTAAAAACTACTAAATTTGTATTTCTGACTAGTTTACATTTTATTTTCTAAAATTAATAAGATTATTTATATGATTTCATGACAATAAGCGTTACTAGGTTCGAGATTATTTCAATTTTTAGTCTGAAATGTAATCAATATTGTCTGATAATTAAGTTTGCAATAAAATAATAAGTAAGTGTCTTTTATTTTAAATTTTACTTGTTTTTTGTCTTGTTTTAGTTCAGTAAATCAGTGTTTCCCAATTTTTTTTCTGGACACCCATATTTTAAAAGTCACAAACCTTTGCGTCATTATTCATAAATCGCAAAATAAAGGTGGATTTGATCATTATCGAACATTAATGAGGATATTTTATTGTTGACTGAGTGACAATTAGTTTTACTCAAGTTTTAAAAAATGAAAAACAGTGATTGAAGCAGCAATAAAAGGATCCGTAAGTCGCCTATTTGGACATTAAATGTGGCCTATTTCTTTTTCTTTTCAACATTAAATCATCAATAAAATAATTACAAAAAGATTAGAAAGTACACAAAACATGTCTTAACTTTTTAACATTTCTCATGACATAGGTGGGCCTGTCTGCATTTTTTTTTAGCACGTTTCAGTTCAGGTGCAGGAGGAGAGCGCAGCAGCAGATCAGGAGCAGCATTCCGTCTGTTTTTGTGCATTTTTTGTGAGCACAGAAAATCCTAATTCACACATTTATGTAGTAGTGAAAGGAATAAGCAGAGAAACACTGGCCTTACTGAGGACAGGAGATTCTGACAAAATGCTGTTCCAGAACGACTACAAGGTCACAGATCCGTGTTTACAACTGTATATTGCAGACCTGTATGCACATCGTGACAAGCCTGATTCATCAGCTGGTTTCACTTTGTTTCACTTCGTAGAAACCGTCTGACCTCGCAGCGTTGGAATTCGTTTGCCTGACAGTAGGCGGGTACTTTATGTCATTTAATCAATCGCTGCTCTTTGGTTGTGATGTACAGTATGTAATGCGCTGCTAACGGGGTGAACTGGTATATTAAACTTTTCCCAAATCCTGCAGGAAGAAGGGCAACGTCTTTTATCGTCTTTCCCCTTGATAAAATTCACCAAACATTCTCTTTATTCTGCCTTTAAATCCTCGATCTCAGGAATCGTTGACAACACTGAATGTCTGGCTCTTCGCTGATTGGCTGCTGCCTGAACTCACTCTTCTGGGGTTTTTGTGAACCGTCTAGTTCAGGGGTGGCCAAACTTTTTTCATCAAGGGCCACATATCTAAACGCAGATGAAGCAGAGGACTGATCGAGGGCTGTAGACTGGTGCTCAGTACAGTGAATAATTGAAATATGTGCATGTTTAACATGAATAGCAGGAATAAACACTGATGCTCAGGCTAAGATCCTTAAAACCACACACTAAATATGAAATATTCACTTTATCAAGGTAGATTTTCCAAATACTTGCAGTAAGAAGTACATTTTTAAATGATGTAAGGTAATTTGGGCCAATTCACCTGGAAGCCTGAGGGCCAAGAAAAATTTGATCTGAGGGCTGCAAATGGCCCACGTGCCGTAGTTTGGACGTGTTGCTCTAGTCTGTTCTGACCGAGTTGCTGGAGAGAAATCAAGTTGAGTGAAGTCACTAGGTGGCGCCAGCCTGACTAGATCATGACCAGTGTTGGGGAGTAACAGATTACATGTGCCGGAGTTATGTAATCAGAGTACAAATTATGAGTAACTGTATTCAGTTACAGTTACTGTTTCAGTGAGTGGTAATTGGATTACAGTTACTTTGTTGAAATAAATGGATTACACGGCGGGATTTTCCTGTTTTCACATTTTGGGCTAAATCCCCCCCAGGACTAAACCAGGACTAAAACCAGGACTAAAAACAAGGCCTAAACTAGATCTAAACCAGGACTAAACCAGGTTTAAACCAGAACTAAACCAGGACTAAAATCAGGTCTAAACTAGAGCTAAACTAGATCTAAACCAGGAGGTCTAAAACCAGGACTAAACCAGGACTAAAACAGGACTAAACAGGATTTAACAGGACTAAATCATGCTGCGTGGACGTGTCTCCTCGTCTTCTATCAATAACATTTTTAATTTAGTTCAGTAAATTCTGGGCTTTTCATTTTCTTTTATCAGACAAAACATCTTATGTTACGATTTCCTCGTCTTTGCTTCTCTACAACAAATCAAATAATCCAAAGTATTCAGATTACATTACTCACTTTAAGTAATTTAATGGATTACATTACAAACTACATTTTGGTGTATGTAATCTGTAATCTGTAGGGGAATACATTTTAAAAGTCACCTTCCCAACACTGATCATGACAAGGCGATTAAAAAAAAATCTCTTGAGGCTCACCTGAGGATCGCGACCCAGTCTTAAGGAAACAATGCTATAAATTACATAAATTATAAGAGTTTTTTTTTTCTACTTATGGCCTAAATAACCTTTTGTGTCTGGAATAGAGTAAAGTAAGTAGCTCCTGAATGAATTTTTCCACGTGCTGTTTCCAGTGTTGGGAAGTTTACTTTTAAAATGTTTTCCCCGTACAGATTACAGATTACATACTCCAAAATGTAGTTTGTAACATAATCCATTAAATTACTTAAAGTGAGTAACGTAATTTGAATACTTTGGATTACTTGATATTGTTAAGGTTTTGAAAACAACATGAATGTAGCTACCGCATCCTGAAAATCCATGTTTGTTCTCTTCAAATTGTCTGTTGAGCCCAAATCTCCATGAACAGACAACTGTTTACAATAGAGAAACAAAGACCAGGAAATCTTAACATGAGATATTTGTTTTGTCTGCTAAAAGAAAATAAAAAGCTCAGTCTTTACTTAAGCATTTTAAAAATATTATTGATAGAGAAACTATTTCTATATGAAATCACTGCTGCCTTAAATTATGTCCATCCTGCTGTTAGGTGTCATATTGTTTAGACCAGGTTTAGTCCTGATTTTAGACCTGGTTTAGTCCTGGTTTAGTCCTGGTTTAGTCCTGGTTTAGTCCTGGTTTAGTCCTGGTTTAGTTCTGGTTTAGTCCTGGTTTAGTCCTGGTTTAGACCTGGTTTATTCCTGGTTTAGACCTGGTTTAGTTCTGGTTTAGTTCTGGTTTAGTCCTGGTTTAGTCTGGTTTAGTTTTCCTGGTTTAGTCCTGGTTTAGTCCTGTTTAGTTTAGTCCTGGTTTAGTCCTGGTTTAGTCCTGGTTTAGTCCTGGTTTAGTTCTGGTTTAGTCCTGGTTTTTAGTTCTGGTTTAGTTTAGTCCTGGTTTAGTCCTGGTTTTACTGGTTTTCTGGTTTAGTCCTGGTTTAGTCCTGGTTTAGTCCTGGTTTAGTTTTCTGGTTTAGTCCTGGTTTAGTCCTGGTTTAGTTTCTGGTTTAGTCCTGGTTTAGTTCTGGTTTAGTCCTGGGTTTAGTCCTGGTTTAGTCCTGGTTTAGGCCTGGTTTAGTTCTGGTTTAGTCCTGGTTTAGTTTTCCTGGTTTAGTTCTGGTTTAGTCCTGGTTTAGTCCTGGTTTAGTCCTGGTTTAGTCTGGTTTAGTCCTGGTTTAGTCCTGGTTTAGACCTGGTTTAGTCCTGGTTTAGTCCTGGTTTAGTCCTGGTTTAGCCCAAAATGTGAAAACAGGAAAATCCCGCCGTGTAATCCATTTATTTCAACAAAGTAACTGTAATCCAATTACCACTCACTGAAACAGTAACTGTAACTGAATACAGTTACTCATAAATTGTACTCTGATTACGTAATCCCAGTTACATGTAATCCCTTACTCCCCAACACTGGCTGTTTCCTACTCGCTCTCGGTCACGTCCTTACTGTAAACGTGAAGGTGTTTACATTTGACCTTCCTGGTGAAATACTGAGTAAATAAATAAAGTAAACTAAGAACATTAAATAAACGACTATTGAAACCAAGCGTAATCTTCAGAACTGGTCCGTCCACGTCAGATTAGCAGCGCGTGTTGTGTTTTTGTGTTTTCGCGTTGACTCACGGGGTTGACAGCCGAGTCCGGGTTGATCTGCAGTGTGTAGATGTCGTCTCTGGAGTACTGGAACAGGCCGTAGTACGGGTTGAGCATCTCGTGAGACAGCAGGTACAGCCACTCCCTGCACACGCACACACACACACAAACACATGCACACACACACACACACACACACACACACAGAGGAGAAGAGGAGAGACACATGTGTGAGTCACGTGCATTCTGACAGATCTCCAGCAGGGGGCAGGCTTTGGCTCGGACCTGGCCACTCCTCCGTAGTCCAGCCCCTCTTCTCCCCTGAACTTCACCATGAGCCTCTTCCACAGGTCCTTCGGCCTCATCTTCATCACCTGTCGATACGATTCCTAAGACACAAACAGTGCGCAAACAGTTAAAACATTTGTATGATTAAGGCTTTTTTGTTTCAATGCATTTTATTTTTTACATTTTATGATAAATGTGACGCTTTGGATAAGATCATTTTACTATTTATTTGGAGAGTTAAGACCACTTCAAGCATGTTTTGATGAGGAAACAATGTTTCGGTAGAAAGGTCCAAAACGTTGATTTTGTCTAATAGCCGCTTTCTAACCTTTAAACAAATCCTCTACCATAACAGTTTGAGCTCAATTTGCATGTTTTTATTATATTTTCTTTGGCAACATAGTTCAGTCTCAATTCAATTATGTCATTAGCCATTTGTCCTGAAATTTCCTGTATTTAGAGAAACTTAAATGTTGTGTGTCCCCGTGTCCTCACCTCAAAGATCTCCTCCCTGGACACCTCGATGCGGCAGTGTCCGGCCTGGGGCTGCTGCTGGGACAGCTCTTGTCTCAGGATCTTGAGCTTCTGGACCAGGTCTCTCTTGTACTTGGGCACGGTGAGACACTCGGCGTCTTCTGGGAGCTGACTGGGAGACACCAGAGCCTGCTGGGCCTGCTCCTTCAGCTGAGTCTGAGGCCTGCAACACAACGGCTCTGGTCAGCAGGAGGAACACAGACATATACATATATATACTATATATATATATATATATATATATATATGACATGATAATGAGTAAATATTATAGATATTATACTCAATAATGATCATGTTTGCCATTTCTTTGCACCTTTTTTTCTTATTTTTGTGGTTTGAACTTTGTGGTACTAACAGATTGTTCAGAATCCAGAAAAAACAAAGGGCGAGATTATGTAAGGCCGATTTATTACATCATTTAAATAAATACAAACTCACAGGCCTCATTTACCACAAATCTCGAGCTGTGTAGTCACGTTTTCCTCACACTAAAGTGTTCAAATTAAGGAAGTAAGTTTTATTTATATAGTGCTTTTCACAGACACATATGTCACACAGATGCTTTACAGAGCATTATTCAGTCACTCCAAACCCAGTGAAGTAAACTACTATTGTGGCCACAGCTGCCCTGGGGCAGACTGACTGAAGCACAGCTGCCAGTCAGCACCATCAGTCCCTCTGACCACCACCATCACTCACGCACACACCACTTTCGTACTAGGCAGTGTGTGTGAAGTGCCTTGCCTAAGGACACAACAACAGTTTTGTGACTGGCGCCCCCCTGTGGCTACTGGTAATCCCAGTGTCTCCCATCCAAGTACTGACCAGGCCCTGCTGAGCTTTTGAGATCTGACGAGATCAGGCTTTGACATTATTAAGTTTTATGTCAGGGGTGTCCAATCTGTGGCCCAAGGGCCAAATGTGGTCCTCAGACCAATTTTTTTTGACCCTTCTGCTAAACTAATCATAGGCAATATTTTTTATTACAAATCTAAGGGCTTCATTTACTATAACCTGAGTAACATCATAGTGAATTTTAATACAGGCCTTGTTACTGTTACTGTTCTAAGCCTTATTAAAGATACAGAGACTCTGTCAAAACTGTGTAAAATGCACCAATGTGAATGAATCACAGTGTCATCAAGTTGGAACACCTCTTCTTTCTGTGTTTTCTTTAGGGAAAAGATCGTCCCACATAAAATTTGGCCTTTGCTGGAGACTGAAGCCCAACTGACTGAATAATTAATATCTGACACATTATAGATGCTAGAACTAATTCATTACTAACCACTATTTATTTATTGCTAGCTTCAATATTATTGGGTATCGTATCATATTTCAATGTATCGTACTTCAAAATGTATTACTGTGACAGGTCCTGAAAGCAGTTTTTATTATTACATTTAAGTATAAGTAGTTTTTTTCTCTCATTTTTCTTGCGACAGAGGAGACAGAGACATTCGTGAACATGACACCAGCCCCTAAATTCTTCGCAGAAACAGAATCCGCACACTAAAACTGGACTTTAAGAGCTAAACTGTCCTCTCCTCCTCAAAAGTGTTTAAAATACAGAGTAGTGGTCAGTATCATGTATCCCGGGTCGTGTCCTGCTGCAGCCTCCTGTCCACATTCCCCCTGCACCACAATGACTGCGTGTCCCAAACACGGGCCCACGCTGGCCTCTGCTGTCTGCCCACTGTCAGCTGCTTTTACACTGCACTTCCTGGACCGGCCAAAAGTCGCCGGGCCCAGGGGACAGTCCGGCACGTCTGACATTTGTGGGAGAACATTCACAAGGAGGGGAGGGCTCCAGACGCCGTCAGAACTGGTAAATACGCCGCTTTTGAATCTGCTGTAGTCGACTTGAGACATTCTTGGTGGACTAAAGACGTGCTCGACTAAAAAGCTCTCAAAACTATTCAAGCTACAGAAAAAATATGTATTTATTTATAAGCGAAGCCCCTTTGTTATGTAGCATCTCGTTTGCGAGGGGGTCCTAATACACAGTGTTGGGAAGGTGACTTTTAAAATGTATTCCCCTACAGATTACAGATTACATACACCAAAATGTAGTTTGTAACGTAATCCGTTAAATTACTTAAAGTGAGTAACGTAATCTGAATACTTTGGATTACTTGATTTGTTGTAGAGAAGCAAAGACGAGGAAATCTTCACATAAGATGTTTTGTCTGATAAAAGAAAATAAAAAGCCCAGATTTTACTTCACCGTATTAAAAATATTATTGATAGAAGAAGAGGAGACACGTCCACACAGCATAATTTAGTCCTGTTAAATCCTGGTTTAGTCCTGGTTTAGACCTGGTTTAGTCCTGGTTTAGTCCTGGTTTAGACCTTGTTTAGACCTGGTTTTAGTCCTGGTTTAGATCTGGTTTGGATCTGGTTTTAGACCTGGTTTAGACCTGTTTTAGTCCTGGTTTAGTCCTGGTTTCGACCTAGCTTTAGACCTGGTTTAGACCTGGGTTTCGACCTGATTTTAGATCTGGTTTGGACCTGATTTAGACCTAGTTTAGACCTGGTTTTAGTCCTGGTTTAGTCCTGGTTTAGACCTGTCTTAGACCTGGTTTAGTGTCCGGCAATGAGTGGAATTACAAAAAAAAAAAAAAAAAGGATTTAGCCCAAAATGTGTAAACAGGTAAATACCGCCGTGTAATCCATTTATTTCAACAAAGTAACTGTAATCCAATTACCACTCACTGAAACAGTAACTGTAACTGAATACAGTTACTCATAATTTGTACTCTGATTACGTAACTCTGGTACATGTAATCTGTTACTCCCCAACACCGCCCACCTCTAGTGAATTGGATTACAGTTACTTTCTTGAAATAAATGGCTTTTTTGGTAATTCCACTCGTTGCCGGACACTAAACCAGGTCAAAACCAGGACTAAACCAGGACTAAACCAAGACTAAACCAGGTCTAAAACAGGATTTACCAGGTCTAAATCCTGCTGTGTGGACGTGTCTCCTCGTCTTCTATCAATAATATTTATAATCTGGTTCAGTAAAGTCTGGACTTTTTATTTTCTTTTATCAGACAAAACTTCTTATGTTACGATTTCCTCGTCTTTGCTTCTCTACATCAAACCAAGTAATCCAAAGTATTCAGATTACGTTACTCACTTTAAGTAATTTAATGGATTACGTTACAAACTACATTTTGGGGTATGTAATCTGTAATCTGTAGGGGAATACATTTTAAAAGTCACCTTCCCGACACTGCAATCACATTAGAAGAAGTTACGACTATTTGCTTGAAGAAAACCTCGCCAAACATGATTATTTCGATTTCAGACACCAGATATGTTTTTAAATACTCGATCTAGTATGAAATATCTCCAACTGTAGCCTCTTCCTGTCTTTTTGAAGCGAGCGAATCATCACCGCTGGATTCTTATTGCGGAGAAATATAATACACATGACTCTCACCCATCTGGCCGTAATCACAGTTATGACAAAACCGACTTCAAGGACAAACGCGCCGTGCCAAGTAACATTTTTATAAGACTGTTTCAAACACGCGCTTTGATCCGTGAAATGAGCGGAGGAAACCCAGCGTCTCCAGACAGACACGGGACGGGGTCAAACACAAGAGGCCCCTCATGACTTACACCACCAGTCAAAAGTTTGGACACACCATCTCCGTCATGTTTTTTTTTTTTTACTATATGTTTCCTACTTTCTACTATAAAGTCTTTCTACTAGTGTATCTACAAAGTTCCTAATTGTGTTCTCGCCGTTTTTGACTTTATTTTGTTTAATATTTTTGCTGTAGCACTGCTTTTTCCGACTACATCTTACAAAAAATGTATCTCGCCATAACTTTTTATCCAGAAAAACGTATATCGGTCGATCTCTCAATAGGTAAACAACTTTTTTTTTGTTTTTTAGTTGGTTAAAAAGTCAAAAGTTTGGACACATCATTTCACTCATGGTTTGTTTTTCATGATTTTTTTTTCTGTACTACTTTTTTTTACTACTTTCTAGAGTACTGTCTTTCTACTACACAACAGCTCACTCGTGTTTTTTTTTTCTAAATGTTTCCTACTTTCTACTATAAAGTCTTTCTACTAGTGTATCTACAAGAAACTGGATCTACGAGAGCGAGACAAGATGAGATTTGGACGTTATTTAATATAAATAAATAGGCATCTGATTGTACATTGTGTTGTTTAATTTTATAGTGACACCAAGAAGAGGAGGAAAACGTCCCCGGGAGCCTGTTTCGGAGGTGAGAGTTTTTCCTCCTCGGTCCAGCTCCTGCTCTGTCGGGCATTCCGCCTCAGGGAGAAGAATGTCTAAAATGCGAAATAGGAAAATTTGGCCCAGACTCAATGAATATAAAGAGTTGGAAAACTCAACAGAGCAGGAACTACACCAGTGTCTTTCCTCGTCACCTTTATTCTGTCCTTCAGCTCTTCCCTTCTCTAAGCAAGGTCCTCTGTATTCCAGTCTCTGTAATATGTAAATACTGAATGTAAAAATGGGCCCGGTCAAGCAGAAGTAAACAGCAAGGCCAAAAATTCAAGTTAATGCATCTGATATAAAAATGTATTGAACAGATACATATGTACTCTAGTTTATGAAACTGTTGACCTTTTTTCTGTACCATTTTTGGTTCTAAAGTTACATACGTTTTAAACAGACCATGTATGAAACATGGAACAAAAATTATTTCCCAAATTTCAAAGACCTGCAAATCATGTAAATAAATGGATGTATTTCATCATATCTTGTGTTATTCCATCTTTGAACTGTTGATGAAGGTACATGATTTTTTTTTTTAAAATGTATTTAAAATGATAAAAATTTGCTTGGAAGGACTGACATATTTTATAGAAATACTTTCCTTTCATTTTGAAGTAATATTAAAGTATTCAGAAGAAAAAAGCGACAAATTATGCAAAATCATGCACCTTCTACTTGTTTGTACAATTTTCCCTCTTTACCATCTATCTATACTATCTACTTTTCCCTCCGTTACCATGAACTTTCTTAACAAAAAATCTCATGACTGAAAAAGTAAGAGGTTTTTCAACCTAATCTTGTACCATATGGTAGAAAACTATATGAAGCAAATATTCAAACCAGTTTGTTAAGGATATGTAAGTGAGAACCAAGAGTTATCACTGTTTGTATTTGTTGCCCAAAAAGTGCTGCATATTTCATTCCCTCCGTTACCGACAGTTTTTAAGTTTTTTTTATTTTTTGTCAACAACTTGAAAGAATATCACAGGTTTAACTTGACCCTGTTGGAGTGTAACTCTTTCCTACATTCTGATACTTTACTTATTTTAATAGTCCCTCTAGTTTCTGAATAAGAGACATTTGAATGTCAAAAAATCTGCCTGTTTCCCTCTGTTACCCATCTGCTTTGCTTCCGACCCATCTGCTTTGATTTGGTCAGTTTTTTCGCTCAAGACATAATTGTTTAATCTCCACAAGGTGTTTCTGTGGTCCGTGTTAATATTTAACTCTAAATAGACTGGACTGTGATCAGATAAATCCATAGTACTTATTGAACAGTCCCACACCCTATGCAGGTCTCTACTAAAAACGAAAAAATAGTCAATTGTAGAAAAGAATAAGTGTGGATTTTTGAAGTATGTGTAATCTTTTTCTGTAGGATTTAATTGTCTCCACAAATGTATTATCCCAAGATCGTCCATTACTGATTAACTTTTTTATTTATTAGTTTTGGCTGGGTTGTACTTTCTTTTCTATTCCCACGTGGCCTTATATCTGTATATCCACCTGTTTCCCTCCGTTACAGCTTGACCAGACCCACTCGTTATGGTAAAAAAACAGAAAAGCTGCTTAAAATCGACCAAAACGCAAACAAAATGTGACTCTACTGACTCACATGTCACATTAGTCATGAATAAATCACGACTGGGCTGAGTGCAGAACAATTTTCCTTAATTACTGTACGCACTCGTTTCACAATTTAATTATTACCAACCACTCCAAAGCGGGAGTGTCCCGGTTTCTGCAAATCTGGTCACCCAAACTATCCAGAAACTTCCTCCTCAAACTGTACGGCGAAGGGCTCTTGGGTAATTGCGAGTGGCTGGAGCGTTGCGTGTGCTGTCGGGTTTGGAGAATGTGAGTGCGGTCGCTACTAGTTCTTCTGTCATGACTCGGTTTGGCCGTCGAGTCGGATCAGAAGCAGGTCTGGTTATAGATGGTGTGCCAAAAAGCTTCTGTGAGAATGTGAGTGTTTAAAGCTGGTTGTCCGCTGCACGAATTTGCCCCGGCTGTGATTAAAGATTTCTGACGGTGGGAAAAAAAAAAAATCTCTCAAAATGGCAGTGGACAAGGATTAAAGTTAAGGGCGCGTTGCGTAACTTTTCCGTTCGGAGGCTCCGTCAAATGATTTTCTCTTGTATTGTTGTATTAATATGTATTTCTATCTTCACGGAGATCAAACCGGACCAAGTTACAGGGCAGATCTGCGGAGAGTCGACCCCGTTCTCAGTCAGAATGTTGTTTTTCGAGGTATTTTTGAGCTATAAAACCACCTGTAACTGAATAAAAGTAAGATAAAGCTGTTTAATGTCACGGTAAAGATTAAACCTACCGTATTTTTTGGACTATAAGTGGCACTTTTTTTCATGGTTTGGGTGTTTCCTGCGACTTATACTCAGGTGCGATTTATATATTAAACTATATAATTTCACATGTTTGTTATTTTCACCCTGAAGCCGCGAGAAGGTGCCAGAATTTGCTGCTCCTATTACTCCTGTACCACTGTCACTTCGATCTACTAGAAAGAGCCTCTGTCCTGCTGCAAGTTGTGAAATCTGCAGCTGAAAACAGTTATCGAGCAGCAGAAAGAAAGTTTGGAGTGAGCGAGAAACTTGTGAGGGACTGACGGAAAGAGAAAGAGACTCGAACTGCAATGAAGAAAACAAAAAAGCTCATCACAGGCTTAAAGGTTGTATGGAGGATTTTTTTTTCAGGAAGAAAAATACAGCGACAGCCTTTGTCAAAAATGTTGTGCTTGTGTGACACCACCTTCCTCCTCCACAGCTCCTCAGTAGAAACACCTCCTCCCGCCTCTTTACTCTAGAAATCACACTTGTTTACATCCAGTGCGTCTTCAGAATTTACTGTTGAAGTTTCCTGTCTAGAAATAATTTAACAACCGACGCGTCAGTTTTTAGACCCTTCGTCTGCTTCGGTCGCGCCATCGCTGGAAGGAATCTCCAAGAATCACCTCAGTTTGTCTTCGCTCCTTTTCTCCTTCTCTTCTTCTTTCAGCGACCTCAAAAACGGACTTCCTTTTGCGTTGAACTGGTCGTGGAATCTCGTCCGCCGTCGCGAAAAACTTTGTGCGAATTGCGAGGAAGCGACAGTTTGAAAAAGCCTCTAAGAACCGCTGCATAAACCACGTAATCCCCGCACGCCGACGAGTCAGTTACACTAGAAACGTAGGGAGTTTGATTGACAACCTAACAGCCAATAGATAAAGAGGGAGCCTCGTTATCTATTGGCTGATGTTTGTCTTGACTCACTACGTTCACAGTTGATAGTTGATTTTCATTCTTTTTTTTTTGGTCATCATAATTACAAGGCTGCTGCGTCTCTGTAATGGTATTTTAAACTTTCAATGACAATTTGAACCTAAAAAAAAAATCCTCCATACAACCTTTAAAGATGGATTTAACTCGAGTTGGCGGAGTTGCTCAGAAGTGACACCGAGGATGAAGAACTGAAGGGACTTAGTGATTTGGAGTGAGATGGAGAGTTTGGTAAACTTTGGTTCTGTTGTTTATGCTGTAGTTATCTGAAGAACTCAAGAGTGTCAAACTCAAATTCACAAAAGGCCACAATGAAAAACTGGGACTAAGTCGTGGTCCAAACTAAATATTTATTTATGTTTTCTCTTCTTTCGAGATATGTAATGTTAAACCTTTGATTATTAAAATAAATGTTTAATAATAGTTTTGCTTAAACACTGAACCCAGAACAAGTAAAATATAAAATAATAACACAATTTTGAATAAATAATGTCTCTATAGTTGATCTGTAGCCGGCGGGCAGCTCTAATACATGTTTAAGATGATCTCGCGGGCCAAATATAATTATATCATGCAACACAAAACATGCTACACAGGTCTCCAGAACAGTTGATAGTCAAGGTCAGTTAAAATACAATAAATAAATGAACCTGCCCAGAGACGACAGGTGGAAATTAGCACTGATGCTTCAACCTGATGTGCGCCGTCCCTGTCTCAAATAAATAAATAAATAAATAAATAATAAAATAATAATAATAAAATTTGGTCCCTGGGCCTGAATCTGACATGTCTGGAATAACTGTTCGTATGTGACATTAACACACCAGACACCTCTTCAGTCTGTTGTTCTTGGTTCTGTTGTTATGACTACAATTGGACTTTCAAGATGAAATGTCGGTTCCTGGTTTCTGATTTTATAAATAAATTTCCCCCCAAAAAATGCGACTTATATTCCAGCGCGACTTATGTTTTTTTCCTTCTTCATTACGCATTTTTTTTGGCTGGTGTGACTTATTGTCTGGAAAATACGATATTTATCTCAAGGGAGACAACTAAACCGCATTACAGGTCAGATCTGTGGAGAGTCGCCCCAGTTCACAGAGAGAATTATTGTATTTTTGAGCAGCAGAAACACCCGTAATGAATAAATGCTAGAAGTGCGAACTGCCACGAATTTGGCGACACGATACGCATCACGATTCAATATATCCTGATACGAAAACAAAGGACGATATACTGTGATTTATCAATAATTATGCATAATATTTTGGTCGAGTAAACATCCACGAGAACAAAATTTAATGAAATACACTTTATTTAATATTAAAATCATGAGAACTTTAAATTGAACTTATGATTTTTTCATGAAAAACGTGACTTTTAAAATTAGATTCAGACACATTTTGAATCGATGTAGGAATCTCGCAATGGAGTATCGCGATATATCACTGAATCGATATTTTCTCACCTCTAATAAATGCTAGATTGATGCGTTTAATGTCATACTATGGGACATTCCAAGTAAAGCGATAACATCTCCACGGATACAAGCAAGTGACGGACGCTCCACCAGAAAAGTCAAGCAATTCACAACTTTTCCCAGGATAAAAACACTCTCCTCCACTAACCAGATTTGAGGTAAACTTCACGAAAAAGAAACAAAAGTGGACTGATATTTTTGAACACGCTGCAGCAGAAGAATGCATTTTGAGGCCAGGAGTTGACAGTTTGATAAAGTAAAGGTCCGTAGTGGGATTTTTCATGTTTAAAAAATGAGTCAAACCACATTTTCTTAGATGAAAACAGACTCGCATCCATCAACCAGGAGAAGAGCGAGGAGGAGGAGGAGGAGGAGGAGCTTACCTGCTGTTCTGGTTGTCAGAGCCTCCTCGAGTCGGTCCACCGTTCGGAGTGGGAGTTGGACTACGGAACAAACACAGAACACGGGTCAGACCTAAACTCTCACCAGTCACCAGCAGAAAAAAAACAGAAAGATTTGGGTTCATTTGGTCGATTTTGTGTAGAGCTTTGAAAGGCTGCACGGTTTTGGAAATGACAAGTTATAAATTCAAATCAGGTTTCAGTTCAGAATGTGCAAATTCAGGAGCATTCAGGTTTGAAAATGAAATTAGAAACATGTTTGCTGAGATGTAAGATTGTGTTTATGATTGTATTTGTTTTGAGTTGATTGCACTTGTTGTTGTTGTTGTTTTTTTGTCCCATCCTGACATTAGAGATTAAAACAGTGACATGGACAGAGTATTTTCTGGAAATTGACAAAATGGCTCAGTCTCACATTAAAGTCCGATTTATATTCGTGCGTCAAATCGTCTGCATCACGATGTAGAGAGTCTGAGTCGACCAACGTGCACCTCAGAGATTTTCTAATTACACGTCGAAACGGTGCAGACAGCAAGGAAAAGCGACGCAATCCGTGTGTCATTCGTTCATTAGTTTTTCAATATAAAACCCAAACTAAGAAAACAAAAAAAACAACTATTTTCTTCATTATTTGTCTCCAAAATCAAAATGAAAAAACAGATAATGATTCGTTTTTTCAGTTTTTGATTTTGTGTTTAAATGAAAAATGGAAAAAAACACGGATAACGGACTTTTCCCGTTTACTTGACTTAAACAGCGATGCTGGACTGAACCAGGACTGAACCAGGTCTGGGACCAGACCAGAACCAGACCAGGACTGAGATCAGGACTGAGACCAGAACTGAGACCGGGACCAGACCAGGACTGAGACTGGGAACAGGGCCGGGACCAGACCAGGACTGAGGCTGGGACTGAGGCTGGGACCAGACCAGGACTGAGATTGTAATTGAGACCAGGACCAGACTGGGACAAGACCAGGACCAGACCGGGACTGAGACCGGTACCAGACCAGGACTGAGACTGGGGCTGAGGCTGGGACCAGACCAGGACTGAGACCGAGACCAGGTCGGGACTGAGACCGGGACCAAGTCGGGACTGAGACCGGGACTAGACCAGGACTGAGACCTGGGACCAGACCAGGACTGAAAATGGTTTAGCCCTGCTTTAGTCCTGTTTTAGTCCTGATTCAGTCCTGGTTTAGGCTTGGTTCAGTCTTTACGCGGCCCAAAAGTCCGGCATCGCAGTTTAAGTCACGGAAACGGGAAATGGCCATTAAATGTTTTTTCCATTATTCATTTAAACACAAAATCAAAAACTGAAAAAACAAATCATTATCCATTTTTTTCATTTTGGTTTTGGAGACAAATAATGAAGAAAATAGTTGTTTTTTTCATTTTCTTATTTTGGGTTTTATATTAAAAACTAATGAACAAATGACACACGGATTCAACACAGACAATAAGGGCTGTGATTGGTTTTTCTCTACATCCACATTTCAGTACTCTGCTTTCCTGCTTCATTTTGTAACACGAATGCCATGTCTAAATCCTGGCCTCCTTGCATTGTGGTGGTGAGTTACTTCACGGAGCACGCGTCACTCACTTGAGGACGAGGTGCAGGTTGGCGGAGAGGCGCGGGTCGGTGAACTGCGTGGTGCGGTTGTTGTGGTCCACGAAGTAGACCCTCCCCGTGGCCGTGTTCCTGATCTCCCATCCCGGAGGCAGAGGGCCCAGCTCCTCGCAGTTCACATTACTCAGGTCTCTGTCAACACACACACACATACGGCATTTAATCAGCAAAAAGTAACTGTATGTACGCCTGGATGAGATATGTGATATATACATCTTTAAAAAGCCTTTACAGTACTTTTTTTTTTTTTTACTGATGTTACTACCTACCTCACTTAATCAGGAATACTAATATCGTAGTTAGGGATGGGCATTCGATGAAATTTTCTTAATCGATCGTCGGAAGAATTTTTATATTAAAATGATCATCATTATTATTACTATCTGCACTACTAATCTGCATAAATAAATTCAACTTTACGACATATAAACCGTAACGACTCTAGAGCCACATCAGCCCGTTTGACATTATAATGTGTTTAATTCAGTTTTGTTCAACTCTCACAGAAACTAAACTTAAAACCGCATCGCTAATTTGCATAAACTAAGCGAAGATAAAACTCCAGCTCTTGTGTCGCTGATGTGGTTCAATTTCTGTTGGATTAAAAGACATGACTCAGGTGAATACAGGTTAGTGTGACCAGATTTGCGTTTGTCAAAACCAGGACAGCGTACGGGGGGAGGGGGGCGGGGCCTCGTCATCGACATGAGCGACTCTCACCTGGTAAAACTTTTTCCCACTGGACACAGAAACATATGTGCTGCTTTATACACTGTGCACATGGACTCACACTTGTCCCGAACGCAACAGAAAGTGTGGAATTTCTTGTACAAATCATCGTTAAATCCACATTTGTGCTTCGGTTTGTTACAGACTGACCCACTGTTTGTGTCTCGCTCCTTCTGATGCAGAGACACATGTACACACCTGTTTGGTCACGATACACACAGCAACCTACATTCGGTTTGTCAATTAAAATTAACGTAATCGATGAAATTCTTAATGATCAATTATCGATTAATCATGCCCATCCCTAATCGTAGTAGTTGATGTACAGCAGAGACGTACCTGGGGACTCTGGGGTCGTGCCACGTGCTGACCCCTGTCTGTGTGTGGAGGAAGTACACCTGGCCCTGCTGCGTGGTCCTCTGCTCTGTAATAACAAAACAAAAACTCACGTGAATCAAAAATATTTAAACTCCAAACCCTCTGACTCTGAATCAAAGGCATCAGTTGCGTTTTTCAGACTGTAAAATGCGCTTATGTGACAGTTAGATCCGCCTGCCTCATGTTTTAAGACACGTTATGGCGCTGTTACATCAAAAACAAAGCTTTTTTTTAAATTTATTTATTTATTTATTTCGGGTCACAGGTATATTTTGACATTAATCCACAGACAGTCATATTTAACATACACAGAGAAAAGGTAACGGCTGAAGTTTAAGCTTATTATGCCTTTACCCTTTATTCCTTTGTCAGAGCGTCGTCTTGACACCAGTTCATCTTCAAAAATACAGTGAGAGGAAACAAACAAATCAGAAACAGAACAACAAAGTTCTACAGCACAAACTAAGTATCTTATTTCATGTGTCTGTCCAGAGTTAAACATTTAAACTTCTTTATAAAGTGAAAGAGACTGGTGCACAGTTTTAGGTTTTCTGTACAGTTGTTCCACAGCTCCACCCCTTTAACAGATTTACAACATTTCATAATGTTTGTTCTGATTTTCTTTTTAATAAACATGGTCGTGCCTCTGAGTTCATATCGGCTCTTTCGGATTTTGAACATGTTCTGTAAAGATTTTGACAGGAGATTGTTGTTTACTTTGAACATGATTTTCAGAGTATAAAGGTCGACTAAATCATACAATTTCAGCGTTTGAAGGTTTATAAATAATGCATTGGTTGGTTCGTTATAAGCTGATAATGTGATTGCTCTTATTGCCTTTTTTTGCAGGGTAAAGCTCAAAATGCTCAGTTCCACCTTGTGATGTCACGTAGAGGTAGTTTTCAAGTTATCAGGTAACTTTTTTTTTAATCTTTAGTTGAGTAGAGATTGACAATTCCCGGTCTGACCCCAGCAGGAGCATGAAGCCTCTGACAACACAGCTCCTGGGATCATTCGGGCACTCAAACTCCTCCACCACGTTAAGGTGCCGGTTTCGCAGATACGAGCGGTTAAAATGAGTTTCCTCCGCAGGGTGGGTGGGTGCTCCTTTAGAAATAGGGTGAGGAGCTCGGTCACACGGGAGGAGCTCGGAGTAGAGCCACTGCTCCTCCACAACAAGAGGAGCAGCTGAGGTGGCTTAGTGGGCGCCTTTTCTCAGGAGGTGTTCCGGGCATGTCCCACCGGGAGGAGCCCCCGGGGAAGACCCAGGACACACTGGAGCAGGGGTGCTCAATACCTCGATCCCGATCTACCAGTCGATCGCCAAGGTCGTGTGGGTAGATCGCCGTGTCTCGTCTCGGACTCGTGTTTGGACTCGGTCTTGTCTCTCACTCGAGGTCTGACACTCAACAAGTGTGATCATATTTCATTCCGGCCGCTGCTGTTGGTAATAAACTTGTAGCGGGTGCAGGAGCGTGTGGGGCGTCTCAGTGCAGCCTGTGCGCTCATTTGAAACCCGCGGAGACTCTACGGCGCATCACAAACACACACGCTCCCTATGCACGGCTCGTCTGCGACAGCGTGTGCCCTCGTGTACCAGCGTGCATCACAGGGCAGGCCTGTCATCTGCCTCACGTCAGCACGCCGCCCCTCGCCTTTTCAGCGTTCAACAAAGTGCGGCGTGAACGTGAAGCAAAAACCAGTCTAAATTTGTGTTCCAGTGTTGGCACAAAGCAGGTCTACAGCATAGAGCGGATCTACAGAACAGACCTACTGCCACATTTGGCTGAAGTTTGTCTAACAAAAGTGACAAATGCATCTGTGTTTGTCACGATGTGCGTTTGGTTTGGTAAACGTGCAGAGGCTGGTAAATATCACTGCAAAACCAGAAAAGAATGCAACTCCAGTTTGGAACTTTAAAAAACAGGTTTAAAAATCTTCCTTCACTTTTTTCACAGTTTTGTGTAAAGTGCCAGAGGAAGTTCTCTTAAAGAAGAGGTTCTCAAACTGTGGGTGAGGGTCCAAAAAAGGGGCAGAGTGTTTCAGTGCAGTTTGTTTGGCTTTGTATTAGGTTGATCATTTTGACTTGGTCATTTTGTAAGTAGCTCGCACGCTGAAAAAATGTGAGCACCTCTGCACTGGAGTCTCTGGGCTGGCCTGGGAACGCCTCAGGGTTCCCCCGGAGGAGCTGGAGGACGTGTCTGGGGTGAAGGAAGTCTGGGAGTCCCTGCTTAGACTGCTGCCTCTGCAACCCAGCCCCGGATAAGCAGAAGAAAATGGATGGATGGGTAAAACTTGTTGTATAATCTCTTATAAAGGATCATTACGGACTTTTGTTTTGAAATGAGTGAAATAGCAGAAACAGAAGTGTATTTGAAGACCTTAAAAAAGCGGTGTAAGTGTAGATAAATATGAAGGGACAGATGTGAGGAGCCTCGTAATCTTCAAACTGTGATATGGTTTCATAAAAGTGCCTGGGACCGCACATGTCAGATAAGGGCGTGTCTGGAGGGCAGCGGGGGGGCGGAGGAGAGGAGGAGGAGGAGGAGGGGTGGATGGTGTGAGACGCCGTGGGTACACAGAGAGAGAGAAAGAGAGAGAAAGATCCAGCCGGAATATTAGATTGTCTGGATGTGGATGGAGCCAGAGTTCTAGACTCCTGGTGTCGAGAAGAGGGTCAGACACAGATTAGAGGAGAAGAGAGGGAGGAGGGAGAGGGGGAAGGGAGGGGAGGGTAGGAAGACAGGAGAGGGAGAAGGGAGAGAAGGAGGAAAGGAGGAGAAGAGGAGAGGGAGGAGGAGAGGAGGAGAGGGGAGGGTGGAGAAAAAGAGGGAGGAGAGAGGAAAGAGGAGACAAGAGGGAGGAGGAGAGGAGAAAGCAAAGGAAGAGAGGGAGGAGGACAGGAGAGGGAGGAGGAAAAGAGGGAGGAGAGAGGAAAGAGGAGACAAGAGGGAGGAGGAGAGGAGAAAGCGAAGGAAGAGAGGGAGGAAGAGAGGGAGGAAGACAGGAGAGGAAGGAGAAAGAGAAGGCGGAGGAAATGAGAGGGAGAAAAGAAGAGGAGAGGGAGGAGGAGAGAAGAGGGAGAAAGAAGTGGAGAGGAGAGTAAGGAGGAAGAGGAGAGGGAGAGCAGAGAAAGCGAAGGAAGAGAGGGAGGAGAGGAAGAGAGGGAGGATGGCGAAAGAGGAGGAAGGGAGGAGAAGAGGAGAGAGAAGAGGAAAAGAGGGAGGAAGAGAGGGAAGAGAGAGGAGGACAGGAGAAAGGGAAGGAAGAGAAGGGAGGAAGAAAGGGAGGAGGACAGGAGAGGGAGGAGGAAAAGAGGGAGGAAGAAAGGGAAGAGGAGACAGGAGGGAGGAGGAGCGGAGAACGCGAAGGAAGAGACGGAGGAAGAGAGGGAGGAGGGCGAAAGGGAGAAAGAGAGGGAGGAGGAAACGGAGAGAGAGAGAGGAGGAGGAGAAGGAGGAGGAAGAGAAGGAGGAGGAAATGAGAGGGAGAAACGAAGACGGAGAGGAGGAGAAAGAAGCGAAGAGGAAAGGGAGGAGGAGAGGAGAAGGAGAAAGAAGGGGAGAGGGAGAAGAGGGAGGTGAGGGAGAGCGAAGAGAGGGAGGAAAGGAGGAGAAGAGGAGAGGGAAGAGGAGACAAGAGGGAGGAAGAGCGGAGAAAGCGAAGGAAGAGAGGGAGGAGAGGAAGAGAGGGAGGACGGAGAAAGGGAGGAAGGGAGGAGAAGAGGAGAGGAGAGGGAAGAGGAAAAGAGGGAGGAAGAGAGAGGAGGACAGGAGAAAGGGAAGGAAGAGAAGGGGGAAGAAAGGGAGGAGGACAGGAGAGGGAGGAGGAAAAGAGGGAGGAAGAAAGGGAAGAGGGCGACAGGAGGGAGGAGGAGCGGAGAACGCGAAGGAAGAGACGGAGGAAGAGAGGGAGGAGGACACGAGAGGAAGAAAATAAGAGGGAGAAGAGGAGAGGAAAGAGAAGAGAAGAGATGAGGGAGGAGAAGAGGAGAGGGAGAAAGAAGAGTAGAGGAGAGGGCGGAGGAAGAGGAGAGGAGGGAGGAGGATGAGAGGAAGGAGAAGAGGAGAGGTGAGCGGAAGAGGAGAGGGAAGAGAGGGAGGAGGTGAGGAGAGGTAATAGAAGAGGAGAGGGGAGGGAGGTGAAAAGAGGAGAAACATTTTGCAAGAGTTTTGCCGGTAACAAGCGTCTTCTTCAGTTCTGACGAGGTTCTGCAAGTCACTGTCTCATATGTGTCTGACGGGAGGAGCTAAACCAACGACTGTATCCTGAAACTAACACACCCTAGTTTATTAATTCACTGTAAGATTGTGTTGTGTTGAGTCATAACTGTTCAAGTCCATAATACCTGAGTCATCCAGCCGATTAGTCATTTAGCCTCGTTTCTTTCTTTGTTTTGTTTTGTTTTGTTTTGGGTCAAGGGATGGACTTGTAAACAGCGCAGTCACGATACGAACATTTCAGACTCGATTTTGTTACTACAGAATAGACTCAGTGCTGTTCCTGTTTTCTGTACTGATTCTCAACATTAAATCGTAGTACTTTCTTTTATATTTCAGCGTGGTCTGCGTAATCCCTCAGTGGTGTTTATAGGCGAGTTTCAGCTGACGTCATTGTTATTAAAAGCCCGCGTTGCATGCTGGGAAATATTTTGGTCGGAGGCAAGAAACACGGTAGCGTCAAACACAGTGCGTAACCTCGTGTATTTATCCCCGATAATGGTAAATTCCTGCTGCATTTAACAGATGCACAAATAGAAGCACGGAAGAAGGAAAATGTCTTTTTCGTATTCTGAGTGAAAAGAACCGCTAACGGTGAATTAAACGACTTTTAAACATTCGCAGAGCAAACGTAGAAGATCCTAACAAACCGTGGACTCCAACAAGTTCAACAACACATCGAGACTCTTGGAGGTTTTCATCTTTTCTGCTGTGAATGGCCCAGGAGTTTCCACCAAGTCATTGTGGATATCGCCCAAGTGAATATTTGTCCAGGTAGTTGGAGATTCTGACCAGAAATTTGGTTTGTTCCACCTTTTGTTGGGGTTGAAAAGGGTGATTTGTCGTCCGTCGATGCTTATGACCGATTTCTGGTCAAATGGTCTTGGGTCCTCTGCCGTTAGAGTGGATCAATAACCGGGATCAATACCCTTTACGTGCTTTCTCGCTCCGTCCGTCATGTTGAATTAGTGTTTCTTGCCGCCGACCAAAATAATTCCCAGCATGCAACGCGCACTTTTGTCAACAATGAAACTCGCCTATACCATAGAACTACAATAAAATCTGAAGGTGAACTCAAGATGGCGTCGAGTTGTTTTCAGTGTCCTGTGCTCATCGGCGCATGGGCCCCAAAAAAACTTTCTCTTCCACATTTACTTCCTCAATACGGGCGAGCGCCTCCCAACTGTGTGACGTCTGTAACGTGAACAGTGTCGGGGAGTAACAGATTACATGTACCGGAGTAACGTAATCAGAGTACAAATTATGAGTAACTGTATTCAGTTACAGTTACTGTTTCAGTGAGTGGTAATTGGATTACAGTTACTTTGTTGAAATAAATGGATTACACGGCGGGATTTTCCTGTTTTCACATTCTGGGCTAAACCAGGACTAAACCAAAGACTAAAGCAAAGACTAAAGCAGGACTAAAAGCAGGATTAAACTAAGACTAAACCAGGACTAAAACCATGTCTAAAACCAGGACTAAACCAGGTCTAAACAATATGACACTTAACAGTAGATGGACATAATTTAAGGCAGCAGTGATCTCATATAGAAATAATTTCTCTATCAATAATATTTTTTTGAATATGTTTAAGTAAAGACTGAGCTTGTTATTGTCTTTTAGCAGATAAAACAAAACATCTTATGTTAAGATCCTCGTCTTTGCTTCTTTACAGTAAACAGTTGCTTATTCATGGAGATTTAGGCTCAACAGACAATTTGAAGAGAACAAACAAGAATTTTCAGGATGTGGTCGGTACATTCATGTAGTTTTAAAAAGCACGACAATATCAAGTAATCCAAAGTATTCAGATTACATTACTCACTTTAAGTAATTTAATGGATTACGTTACAAACTACATTTTGGTGTGTGTAATCTGTAATCTGTAGGGGAAAACATTTTAAAAGTCACCTTCCCAACACTGTGAACGGTGTGGAGCGTTTGGACCAGAGACCGTATATATGAGTGGACATAGCTAACGTTCTAGCCGCCGCGTTCCAAATAGGAATTTCGCCAGGAGGCTCTTCCGGCTCCTTCTGACCCTGGCTCCCACTGACTTACATTAGGATCTTGCGGCTCCTCTCTCTGTACCTGCTGCTGCACAGAGCCTCGTCGTTTTGGTCGTAAAATGTTCGTATTAACCCGCGACACACGATCCAGAATTTTTCATTTCGCTGTTTTGTCCCTAAATCAAGATATGAACATCAATAACGGACCAATCAGATGCCTTCATTCCCTGAGGTCACTCCCGCTAGCCTTAGCAACAGGTTTGATTGACAGCTTGTGTGTTTCGTTACTAAGTAAGCACCCTTCCCGCTTTCCAGTGAGAAAGAAGGGCACATTTAAAGACCGACGGGCACATTTAATGTCCCGTCATGATTGGCTCGTGTTGTTGCTACGATACTCCCGGTCGGATTTCCAAATATGGAACCTGGCTCCAGATTCAACCCTGTAACTGTGGCATCGGGAGCTTTATTTGAGTTGGGCTGTGGTGACATCACACTCGATTAGTCCACTTTTTTATACAGTCTATGTTTGGACCCATAAGAGTGAGAGCTGCTAGAGCGGAGCGAGCGCCGGCTCAAAGCGGGACGAGGCTAAGTCTTACAAAGATCACTTTTAGGCGTTTTGAGGATTTAAACATTTTAAAAAGTTTATGTTGTGAAAATAGAAAAGAATCCCTACAAACGACCTTTGTCAAAGTCTCCGGGCCCAAGCTCTCAGGAGCTGCAGTACCTGGAGCAGCCACTAATCAGTCTCGAGCCGGGACAGAGGGAGAGGGGCTTATCCAGTTTTTATTATAGATCCATGGTGTATACTAGTGTTGTACTCTTACACTTGTTCTGATACAGCTCAACGTTATTCTAAAGTAAATGAAGTTCGTGAATGTGTGTCGTAAGTCGTAAATGTGATGACTGAACATGTGATAAACAGAAATCTAAAATGGCTGCCTGTAGTAGTAGAAGCCGGGCCTCACCGTATCCTTCGGGCAGGTCTGGGGGAGTGTGTAGGTGTGTTCTGCTCATGTAGTTGCGGTGCCTCTGCGATCGGACCCTCCTCTCCTGGGCCCTCTGGTCGCCCCCGTTGGTGGGCACTGTGGGCGTGGGGGGCGTGGCTCCGTTTGTAGTGATGGGCGTGTTCTCGTCTACGATGCAGCTCAGAGGTCGACCCGGGCTGGAGTACTCCGATGCAGGTCTGGAGAGAAATGGTATATTTTTGGTTTTTATGGCATAATAAAATCCACTACTATTGTGACAAACTTTGTCATAATGTTATTTTTATGTTTTTTCTTATTACATAGAGATGACTGACGATGGGTTCAGTAGTTTGAGCTAGGACCAAGTCATTGTGTCCATGGGCAAAACACATCAGCCACCATGAATGTGGTGTGTGTGTGTGTGTGTTGGTCAGGGGGACCGATGGTGCAGATTGATCAGTCTGTCCCAGGGCAGCTGTGGCTACAGTAGTATTGAGTTGAGTAGTGTGGAGTTAATGAATACTGCACTGTAAAGAGCTTTGGGAGTCTTGAAAGGTGCTATATAAATGCAATGCATTATTATTATGAATGAACTGGATGGTTTTTCATATATTTAGTGTTTTAAAAGGGTTAAAAAAGGTTTTAAAAAAATGTTTTGAACATGTGCAATACTTAAAACAGACTTTTTTGCACCCTCAAAAGTAAATACATAAAAATGAAAATAAAAACTAATTTGAAATGTCTAAAAAAATAAATTTGTAAGTTTAGCCTACCCCTGGACACCAGGGAGACCTGTGAAGTAGATTTTTAAAACATCAAATAGTGTATTGCTAAATTTAGAGAAATGCTTGGTGAAAAAATCTTGTCAAAAGTGTTGTACATGGGAGCATACAGGCACTTGGTTCGTTTAAACATTGCATTCATGTGGGGCCTTAACCCAGTTTGCAGAAGGTACAAGGAGGTGTGTACTTTGGTTCCTGTGGTCTGGAGAGAGTTCTCACCTGGTGGGCCTCTCCCACTGTGTAGAGCGTGTGATGTGGTTCAAGTACTGGATCCTCCCCGACGCGGTTCTCCTCTCCTCCCAACTGAGAAACAAACACACACACAGATGTTCACATGTGAACTCCAGAACTTCACATAAGACATTTTACACAAAGGACTTTAAGCAGTAGGGCAGTTTTCAACAGAGGTGGGACCAACTCTTCGTTTTGCGAGTCTTAAGTAAGTCTCAAGTCTTTGACATCAAGTCCCAAGTCAAATACAGGCAAGTCCAAGTCAAGTCCAAGTCGTCTGCTTTGAGCTTCAAGTCATTTCAAGTCTTTAAACCAAAGTACCTAGATTTTTGCAATTTATATTAATTTTAACATTAATTGTACTTATAAAGTCGTGGTATGTTTATATATGAGTATTTACAGAGTATGTAAGAGTTGTAGAAATGGAAATGTTTCTTTTTTAAATGTCTTTACCAGATCTTAGAGTGAATCATTACAGTCAGAATAGAACAAATTCAGATTTAAAAGTGCTTCTAAAGTCTTCTCAAGTCACAGACCTCAAGTCAGAGTCAAGTCCCTTCAAGCCCAAGTCGAGTCCCAAGTCTTAATCCATTTTATCAAGTCAAGTCTCAAGTCCTAAAAATAGTAACTCAAGTCTGACTCGAGTCCCCACCTCTGGTTTTCGATACAGAGCACTTTTAATTCAGTACAATTCAATACGATATATTTCAAAACGATTCGATACAGTTCAGTAAAAAAAAAAAAAAAAGGTTCTGACACTAAAAGTCTTTGTTAAACCACTAAGTTTATATGAAAAACACTTCAAAACGGTGAAAATGTCAAGTGTATTGCATAAACAAGTGAACTTTCTCCAAACAAGCAACACAACTGTAGCTCTTTTACAAAATAATTTAGTAAAATATACAAAAAAAAACCCTCTTAGTGATATATTGATACAGCAGCCCATGAATATTCCCTCATCGATTCGCACATTAACTTCTGTCCCCTCATTTAAAAATGCTCTGGTTCAATATTTACAGAACCCGTGTAATTGTTTTTGATAATTTTGTTGAATTTTCTTGTCCATGTTGTTGTATTTTGTGACTATATTTGAACTTTGTCTTGCCGTGGCTACGAGCACCACCTCAAAAACGAGACGGCGAGACATCTCCAGGGGCTTATTCTCCAGATTCAGAATCAGAATTTACTTCCAAACAAATAAATTTAAGATACTGTATTATCAAATTAAACAATAAGATAGATCGATATTTCAATATTTTTGCACACCTCTAATAAGCAGGGATGTAAAAACAGCCAAAACTACAACAGTACTAATCTCGTTTTATTATAATTTCTTTTTCAGAGTTGCCTTACCCGTCTGGAAGGTCATTGTCGAAGAGGCGACTGCAGTCCACCACGGGGCCCCCAGAGCCTATCCGGTCCCTGGACTGTAGACTCACTGTGGGAACACAAGTGAAAAGCTTAAACTATCTGTCTGTCTCTATCTGTCAAGTGAACTGGTGAAGAAAAAAAACAGAAAACGGTCCACATTTACGCAGTCCTTCACTTCTAGGTCAAGCTCAAATTACCGTCGAAAGCCCCTGTGCCGTTTTTTCCGAGCATCTGAACAAACTTTGTCTTGGTACGGTACGGATATATTGGAAAAGCAGCTCTCGAAGTCAAAATACGTCCACTGTGTACTGTCTGTTTCTCATTATGAAGCGTTTTACTGTTCGAGAATCAGGAAGTGCGCTATTCGCATGCTAGTTGTTGCATGGTCTGGTCTCTGAAAGTTGTGGAAAGCGCTTATAAGCTCATCACGGTGAAAAATTAGGACGCTCTGAATGCGTAAAGTAAGTGAGGAGTAACTTTGGAACACTGCAAACAGTTTTAAATGAACTACCGTATTTTTCGGACTATAAAGCGCACCGGATTATAAAGCGCAATATCAATAATGCTGAATTCTCTCGTCTATTTTCATACATAAGTTACACCTCATTAATGCCGGGTGTACACTGTGCGATATTTTCGGTCGTGTCACTCGGCCCAAGCTTAAACTGTACGACCGAATCGCAGGGTTTAAAAGTTCACAGCTCACGAATCATGTTCTCACACTGAACGAACCAACGCTCGGATGTGACCTGCCTGAGCTCACTGTACATTCACATAAAGACCGGAGTTGTTGTTCCGGAATTAGAAAACCACGGAATTAGAAAACCACAGACGCAATGCAGATCCAGACATAAAACAGACGCACTGCCTTGGCAATTTGTGCCATTCTCTGCGCAGACAAGCCCAAAAAGAAGAGAAATCTGGTCAAAGAAATGGCTGGGCAGACGTGGACAGTACGGGTTGTCAGTTCTTCAGAAGGAACTGGAGGTAAGTAGCATCAAGTTTTTTCAACCAAACTTCTGTTCTGTGTTGCTTGATTAGCTGCGCCTCCATGTCCTGTGTCCAAAACACTCTCCGGCACCATCGTCCTCCACAACCTCATATCCTGCTTCCTCTTCTGTGTCCGCACATGCTCAGTCTGACAGATTCTGGCAAATCGGCTCATGGAACGACTTCAACAGAGCAAAATCCTCATGAGAAGCGACTGGATTTCAAACAAATTTGATTTTCTTGCGACCTACAAATGCAGACCGGGAGCTGGTCGTGAGATATTAATCGTTTTTCTTTACCCGATGTTTACTACACGAAGCACGACACACGATGAAGCCAAAACTCAGCCCAATCCCCAAAATAGTCACGCGAGTGAAAAATCAGCTTAAAAAGAGTCAAAAATCGCACAGTGTACGCACGGCTTAAGCGAAACAAACGGACGACACTTGAGACTGATCCCTTAGCCCATGTGTCCACGATCCATTAGCAGATCGTGGCGTAATTTGCCCGGTGTTGCCTCCCTGTCTCGGTGAATGTGGATTATGAAAGTGAATGTGGGTGGATCATTTAAGTTTGTTTTTTTAAATTTCCTACGAGGACGACTCAAATCTACATTGAGTAATAATGTGTTTAATGTAGCTTTGCGCACATTTGTTTATTTTTTACAGAAGTGAAACTTAAAACCACATGGATAATTTGCACAAACTCTTAGCGCTGAAAAAACAGCTCGCTCCTTGTGCACTGATGTGATTTAGTTTCTGTCGGACACGTCGAACACGACTCAGTGGACTTTCTGCGACAGGATGTGCTGCTGATGGTGAGTCTGTTTGTGCTTCTATCGCATTGGAGATGGTTCATGTGAAACCTTTCAGAGATTACTCCATGAGGCTCTTGACTACGGCAACCACAAAGCTCCGACAGTCCATCAAACGGTGCGGCTTTGTAGCTTAAAAAAGTCGTACTAAAACATTTTGACAGACTTTTGAGCTCCGTGTACCACACAAAATCAGTTCGAGGGCAGTGAGCAGAACCAGAATTAATACATAAGGCGCACAGTCAATTTTTGAGAAAATTAAAGGATTTTAAGTGCGCCTTATAGTCCCAAAAATGCAGTAGTTCTGTTTTTCAGGTTTTTAAGAGCGTAAAAATCAGGTACAAGTTTAAAACTACAACAGAAAACGAGCGGTGTTTTTGTTTCATGCGTTAAGTCTAATAATTGCAAAGATGTAAAAGTCGACTTACCAACAATCTGCCCTCGAACTGTGTCGCTGTCGTTGGGGCTCAGCTTGTTCAGGTCTAGTCTCTGATCTGTGGACAGAAACACGAGAAATGAGATATAAGATAAGATAAGATATGCCTTTATTAGTCCCACAGTGGGGAAATTTCAGTGTTGCAACGCACTATTTCAGAACAGCAGGAAAAGGTAACACAGATAATAAATAATAGCTTAAAAATAATTTAAAAATAGACTTAAAAATAATCGCACATGGTTATGATTGACTGGTACATGTTCAGTGTTAACAGTGTTTGTTGTAAAGTCTGACAGCAGCAGGAAGGAAAGACCTGCGAAACCTCTCCTTCACACAGCGAGGGTGAATGAGTCTGTCACTGAAGCTGCTCTCCAGAGCAGACAGAGCCTCCTGCAGGGGCTGAGACTCATGGCCCAGCATAGAGATGACCTTAGTCAGGACCCTCCTGTCCCCCACCTCCTGCACTGAGTCCAGACAACAGCCCAGGACAGAGCTGGACTTCTTGATGACCTTGTCCAGCTTCTTCTTCTTCTCCCTCTCTGTGATGCTGCTGCTCCAGCAGACCACACCGTACAGGATGGCTGATGCCACCACAGAGTCATAAAAGGTCTTCAGGAGTGGCCCCCCCCCAAAAGACCTGAGTCTCCTCAAAAGACAGTGCATCTGTGTTGTGAGTCCAATCCAGTTTATTGTTCAGATGAACACCCAGGTACTTATATGAGTCCACTCTCTTAATGTCCCTTCCCTGGATGTTCACTGAGGGGCAGTAGAGTGACGTCTGCGGAAGTCCACCACCATCTCCTTGGTCTTCCCTGCATTGATGATGAGGTGGTTCTGCTGACACCAGTCCACAAAGTCCTGTATTAGTCCTCTGTACTCCACATCATTATCATCCTTGATGAAGCCAATGATGGCAGAGTCATCAGAGAACTTCTGCAGGACGCAGCTGTCCGTGTTGTGTCTGAAGTCTGCAGTGTAGAGGGTGAAAAGAAAGGGCGCGAGGACAGTGCCCTGGGGCGCCCCCACACTACCAGTCAGGAGGTCAGACACGCAGTTCTTGGATCTCAAAAACTGGGGCCGGTTTGTGAGGTAGTCCAGAATCCAGTCTGCCAGGTCACAGTCCACAGCGGCAGTCTCCAGCTTGTCCCTCAGGAGCAGTGGCTGGATGGTGTTGAAAGCACTGGAGAAATCAAAGAAAAGAATCCTCACAGTGCTGCCGGGGTTCTCCAGGTGAGACAGTGAGCAGGTAGATGACGGCGTCCTCCACTCCGATTCCAGGCCGGTACGCAAACTGCAGCGGGTCCATCGCTGAGCTCACGGTGGAGCGGAGCAGTGTTGGGGAGTAACAGATTACATCTACCGGAGTTATGTAATCAGAGTACAAATTATGAGTAACTGTATTCAGTTACAGTTACTGTTTCAGTGAGTGGTAATTGGATTACAGTTACTTTGTTGAAATAAATGGATTACACGGCGGTATTTTCCTGTTTTCACATTTTGGGCCCTTTTTTTTTTTAAATTCCACTCATTGCTGGACACTAAACCAGCTACAGTAACCCGGTTTCTAATAACCAGTTTCTAATAACCGGGTTACTGAAACCGGGTTACTGCGTTTACATGCACCATCAAGAAACCGGGATACTCAAAAAACCCGATCATAACCGGGTTATTGATGTGCTTGTATACGCACTCCATGAGTCAGATGTGGGTTATTACTTGACGAACGCAGCCACGTGCGTCTGCGGGCGGTACGTGAGGAGCCCCTCTAAGCCCCACCCCGACCTGGCACCGCCGAGCACCACAATGTCCCGCCGTGTTTGGAGAAAAGAAAAATGACATGATCCGAGCGCAAATGTCCGCTCTGTTTCAAAGTCCATCGCGCCCCGGACCGCACCGTGTTGGATTGTTGTCGCTTGACAAATTATAAATAAAAAAATAAAATAAAATAAAAAACTGACCAAAATAATCGTGATAATATTTTTTTCCATAATCGAGCAGCACTAAGACAAATGCAAATCATCCTGAATTTTGGGTAGATTTTTGTTTATTGATAACACTGATTATGATTCCTTATAAAAACGTTAATGATTAATCGATAATCGGTCGTTAATTCTTCCGACGACCGATTAAGAAAATTTCATCGAATGCCCATCCCTGGTCGCAATTAATCGATTCATCGCCGCAGCCCTATTTCCAACCGAAGTGAACAACGCAAAGCCCTCGTCGTCACGTCCAACATACTTTCGCTATATGGTGCGGTGTCGCGGAGTTCACGCACAGTTCCCCATCGCAGACACGTCCCCCGGAGCCGTGACGCTTTACACCAGAGTCCATACTTCTCATTATCCGTGTCTGCTCGGAACAGATGGTGGGACTGAGCGAAGAAAAAAAAACGCGCCGCGGGCTGTAAAAAAAAAAAAAAAATCCTTGCACACACGACACGGGTCAAACGCTCCGGTCAAACGCTCGACCTGGACGTCTTCCGCACAAAGCTCGCACTATTCCCGTCTGGCCCCGCTGCAGACGAAACCTGAATGAACCCGAGCCAAAGTCTGGAAACTCTTTGGGAAAACCGAGAGCGAGGTGGATCGGGGTCAGTGTTGGGAAGGTGACTTTTAAAATGTAATTCCCCTACAGATTACAGATTACATACCCCAAAATGTAGTTTGTAACGTAATCCATTAAATTACTTAAAGTGAGTAACGTAATCTGAATACTTTGGATTACTTGATATTGTCATGAATGAACCAACCACATCCTGAAAATTCATGTTTGTTCTCTTTAAATTGGCCCTGGTTTAGTCCTGGTTTAGTCCTGGTTTAGTCTTGGTTTAGACCTGGTTTAGACCTGGTTTAAGTCCTGGTTTTAGTCCTGGTTTAGTCCTGGTTTAGACCTGATTTAGTTCTGGTTTAGTCCTGGTTTAGTCTTGGTTTAGACCTGGTTTAGACCTGGTTTAGTTCTGGTTTAGTCCTTGTTTAGTCCTGGTTTAGTCCTGGTTTAGTTCTGGTTTAGTCTTGGTTTAGACCTGGTTTAGACCTGGTTTAAGTCCTGGTTTAGTCCTGGTTTTAGTCCTGGTTTAGTCCTGGTTTAGACCTGATTTAGTCCTGGTTTTAGTCCTTGTTTAGTCCTGGTTTAGACCTGGTTTAGTCCTGGTTTAGTTCTGGTTTAGTCCTGGTTTTAGTCCTTGTTTAGTCCTGGTTTAGTTCTGGTTTAGTCCTGGTTTAGACCTGGTTTAGATCTGGTTTAGACCTGGTTTAGTCCTGGTTTTAGTCCTTGTTTAGTACTGGTTTAGACCTGGTTTAGACCTGGTTTAGTCCTGGTTTTAGTCCTGGTTTAGACCTGGTTTAGACTTGGTTTAGACCTGGTTTAGACCTGGTTTAGACCTGATTTAGTCCTGGTTTTAGTCCTTGTTTAGTCCTGGTTTAGACCTGGTTTAGTCCTGATTTTAGTCCTGGTTTAGTCCTGGTTTAGACTTGGTTTAGACCTAGTTTTAGTCCTGGTTTAGTCCTGGTTTAGTCCTGGTTTTAGTCCTGGTTTAGTCCTGGTTTAGACCTGGTTTAGACCTGGTTTTAGTCCTGATTTAGTCCTGGTTTTAGTCCTTGTTTAGTCCTGGTTTAGACCTGGTTTAGTTCTGGTTTAGTCCTTGTTTAGTCCTGGTTTAGTCTTGGTTTAGTCCTGGTCTAGTCCTGGTTTAGACCTGATTTAGTCCTGGTTTTAGTCCTTGTTTAGTACTGGTTTAGACCTGGTTTAGACCTGGTTTAGTCCTGGTTTTAGTCCTGGTTTAGACCTGGTTTAGACTTGGTTTAGATCTGGTTTAGACCTGGTTTAGACCTGATTTAGTCCTGGTTTTAGTCCTTGTTTAGTCCTGGTTTTTAGACCTGGTTTAGTCCTGGTTTAGTCCTGGTTTAGTCCTTGTTTAGTACTGGTTTAGACCTGGTTTAGTCCTGGTTTTAGTCCTTGTTTAGTAATGGTTTAGTCTTGGTTTAGACCTGCTTTTAGTCCTGGTTTAGTCCTGGTTTTAGTCCTGGTTTAGTCCTGGTTTAGTCCTGGTTTAGTCCTGGTTTTAGTCCTGGTTTAGCCCAAAATGTGAAAACAGGAAAATCCCGCCGTGTTGCCACTGATCGGGGTAAAGCCAGGGGACGGACTGAACGAAACGGGTGGAAGGAAGGAAAGAAAAAAAGAAAGACAGAAAGAAAGAAAGAAGAAAAAAATAGAAAAATGAAAAACAGAGGAAAGTAAAGCGGAGGCCTGCAGACAGAGAAACGCGCTGGTCCAGGATGTGTGTCTAGACTAAACAAGGCTCTGGTGGAAGCGTAACAAGGGGCTGGACAGAGGTCACTGGCTCCAGTCCCAGACATGTACGGTCCTGCTGCGGCGCCAGGGACTGTACAGAAACACAACGGGGGCATTCGAGGTTTAGGACGGTACCAGGACTAAACCAGGACTAAACCAGGACTAAACCAGGACTAAAGCAGGACTAAACCAGGACTAAACCAGGACTAAACCAGGACTAAAACCAGGACTAAACCAGGACTAAAGCAGGATTAAACTAAGACTAAACCAGGACTAAACCAGGACTAAAACCAGGACTAAACCAGGACTAAAGCAGGACTAAAGCAGGACTAAACCAGGACTAAAACCAGGACTAAACCAGGACTAAAGCAGGACTAAAACCAGGACTAAACCAGGACTATAATGGGACTAAAACCAGGTCTAAACCAGATCTAAATCAGGACTAAACCAGGACTAAACCAGGACTAAACCAGGTCTAAACCAGGACTAATGGGACTAAACCAGATATAAACCAGGACTAAACCAGGACTATAATGGGACTAAAACCAGGTCTAAACCAGATCTAAACTAGGACTAAACCAGGACTAAACCAGGACTATAATGGGACTAAAACCACGTCTAAACCAGATCTAAACCAGGACTAAACCAGGACTAAAACCAGGAGTAAACCAGGACTAAAAGCAGAACTAAACCAGGACTAAAACAGGACTAAAGCAGGTTTAAACTAAGACTAAACCAGGACTAAACCAGGTCTAAACCAGGTCT